CTCTCTCTCTCTCTCTCTCTCTCTCTCTCTCTCTCTCTCTCTCTCTCTCTCTCTCTCAGTCGTTTGTTGTGAAAGCAAAGAAACCAAACTACCCAACGTTACCACCAATACCACTCGCTCTCATCAATATACACATTCTTTTCTTCCCTGTCATTCTGCATCTGAGAGTCTGTGTTCATTTGTCCCTCCACAGCAATGGAAGACATAAAACTAAATCAAGATGAGCATATTCCCATTGTAGGTCACGACCGCTCAAGCATCGACTCTTCCCGTCCTTTTAGCTCGGTGAAAGAAGCCGTAGCCATTTTCGGCCAACGGATTCATCTACCAGGACACTCACAAACCCTAAACCCGAAACCTAAAACCCTTAACACCAGTACCAGTCCTACCCTTAGCCATGGTGCATCTTCCTTGTCATCTCCATCACCTCGGAAGCAACCCTTTTCGAAACCTAAAACCCCTACCACCAGTACCAGTCCTACCCTTAACCATGGTGCATCTTCCTTATCATGTCCATCACCATGGAAGCAACCCTCACTGCCATCTTCCCCCTCAAACCCTAAAGAGGAGTTCATGGATGTTTTGAAGAAGCTTGAAGCCGAGCTAAAGGAGACGAAGACCGAGCTGAAGCTCTTGCAGGAAAGAGAGTCGGAGACAGAGGTGGCTTTGGCTACTTTAAACGCCGAGCTCCACAAGAACATGTCCAAGATTGCTAAAGCCGAGGCTGATGCAGCCGGGAAAAGCGCATCAGCCATGGCTAAAACGACTTCGGGTTTTGAGGCAACAAAGAGGAGGAATGATGAGAGAGAGATTAGTGTAGTGAAGAGGGAGGAAGATAGGAGGAAAGAGCTGATGAGGAGGATGGAGAATGAGTATCCCACACTGGCACAGATACTTGATGGCAACAAAGGAAACAGAGAAGCGCATTTCGGGAAGAAGAAGAAGAAGAAGAAACCTATTGTTCCTCTTGTCGGAGATTTCCTCTTCAAGAAGAAAGGGTTCTCTGGTGAAATCTCTGCTCCTGTTTCTTCAACTCCGCGCTTTAGCTGAAACTCAAAACCCACAGAGAATCGATCCTATATGTATATATACATATGCATACCTATATCTGTCCGTGTGTTTGTGTGTGAGGTGTTTTTCGTTCTATTCTTCATCTTCTTTCTCTTTGTTTCTCTACAAGAGTTACCTTCGTCCGTGCGTGCATCGGTTTCTCTACTTTGTTTTGGATTTTGTGTGCAACTGAGCCATGCGTTTCCCTCCTCTGTAACAAGCAAGCTGTGACACCCTTCATTCTGCTGTTATAACCATCACATCATAACTCTTTACTTACTAAATGCAACTTATAGAGTAACATATAGAAGATCATCCGGAAAAAAATTGTCGTAGAATTTGAAACGAAAACTTTAATTTGCTAAGATGATTTGGATACGGAATCAGAAGACCAACTCAGCTTACCTTGACCGACTGCTGGCTCATACCATCGAGTCCGAGCCATTTCTGGAACTACAAGATCTAAAAGAGTTAGAAACAATAGCAAGTACAAGTGAAAGGATAAATGTGTGTGTGGCAACAAGACGGAATTAAAAGGCTAAGCAAGAAGGCCTTTAGTATTGTTCTATTGGATTTAACAACAATCTCCAAGATCCTCAAAACCAAATAGAGATGCTAAAAAGAGACAACCGTACAAGTTGCAACAGAGAAGGAGGTGCCAGTAAAAAACAACTTCATTGAAAGGCACAAATGCAGGATTGCCCACAAGGATAAATTCTAGACCCTCGTGCAGATTATGAGCTCTTCTATCAAGAATGCTTTTGGCTCACCAAAACTATCAATTATGTGAAGAGGCATTAAAGCCTGAGATTTCTCAGCAGCTGACTCCATCTGGGAGTTTCCTCGTCGAAAATGTAGGTGAGAGGTGAAACCAGGACTCCACTACCTCCGATCTGCAATCAGGTTTTAACATGTGTGGAATTAATCAGACATGTAAACAAAGGTGAGCAATAGCGCCTGTGCATGAAAATGGTATGAAGGACTCCTAAAGACAACATAAGGAAACCGATCGGTGCAACAAAATAGACAAGTTTTAAGATGACAACCATGCAATTCAACGGAAATGGAACACCAGTGATGAATTCTTAATGGTGAAAGCGGTGCCTTTCAAAATCTTGGAACTAGCACATCTAAGGGGTGGAGAGGTATGGAAAAGTTAATGAAAAAATATCTACAGATAGGATTACTAACCGCTCGCAGTTGCTGAACAGACTCGTACAGGGCCTTCTTCGGTACACATATAACACTTGCATAGTACTCAATCGATACTTTTCCATCTCGTTTACAGTAAACAGGGCTTATCGTTGGTCCCTGCACACAACATGAGATGCCAGAATGGCCTACAAAAGTCACTACAAACCCAGAGAACAGATTTTCAAGTTGAAACTATGGGATTGAGGGCCCAAAATATTCTGAAACCTTACCTGCAGTCCTGATAATGATGGTTGGCTCAACACGCGCTCAGCCACTTCCTCAGCATTCGTTCCTCTCATGTTGGCAACAACCTGACGTGAAAACATAAGAAGAAAGAAAACAAAACAAGGAAATATAAAACGGCACCAAAGGTACAGAGTGCATACAGTGAATTGACCATCTGCTTTCAGGTGAGCCTCCAGTCTTTCAAGAATCTCGTGGACAGTTTCTAGCGCCCCTTCTCTCTCAGTCAATGCCCTTCTGCTTGCAACGAGTACGGCCTAAGAAACAGAAGAAACTTTTCAGGCATAACGGTCACCAAGTGATTATATGCAGATAATTCACAACTCCAGGATCACTACTCTGATGATGGCATACCGAGAGAAGTTACCTGGCTTTCCAGCACAACTCCTCCTTCAATTTCTTTCAAGTTGTTCTCCTTCAAAGTTGTCCCGCTACTCACAAGGTCTAAAATGGCATCAGCTATCCCCATCTATATAAGAGCAGAAGCAAATGTCAACAAAAAACTGTAGAGACAAACTCTAACCATAACTTAGCAATAATAGCCACTGAAAAGCCAACAGAATTGAGACAACAAGCTATTCTAAATATAATCTTTTTCATCCTCACAGAAGCTCAGTCCTTTAAGAATAATTCCACCTCGTGTTAGAGAAAAATTCAAAGTTAACGTGAAATAGAATAAATCGCACCCCAGGGGCTGCCTCCAAGGCTCCATCTGCAATTGAAAAGATGACATGCTTTATCCCATTATCTCTCATGAACTTGGGGCCTAACTGCAAACACAGTTTATTTGATATAGTATAAGATATCGAAGCAAATGCGTGTCGTGAAAGAATTCGAGGACAACCAACAGATAAACTTTTAACCATCATACATAAGAAAAGCCTGTAGTAACACGTAAAGGTCTCTCCTCGGTCCACTGGGGCATTTGTGCTAACTCCTTCAGAGAATTTACATTCTCAAACATCTCATTTTCAGGTATCTGAAATAATCTGAAAAGTTATTAGAAAAACAATATCCAAAAGCCAGAAGATGTCTGAACCCACAAGGGCCACAACTACAAAAGAATAGAATGTACCGCAAGGGATAGTCGACAGTCACCAAAGTTGAGAGCATCATGAATGATAATAAGATCTTTATTTCCCTGAAAATAAAACCCTAACATTCAAATTCTGATGGCAGTGAGGCCCTCCAAAGATAAAACTTTAAGAAAACACAGAGAACGTAAAGTACCAATCCAGTTTGTATCCCCATCTAGTGGGGTGATGGGGAAGGGAAAACACAGAACAGTGAGGAATAAAATATGTATTGTTGTTAAGAAGTTCTGGATTCTAAATCATAAAAGATAATGCGACAGTATGGCTAGAGATCTGAGGAAAAGGACAGAAGAACGAAAAAAAGATTAGACTCGTTTACAGAATGCGCAAAAGCCTTCATGCATCAGGTTGCACATTTACCAGTTGAACTTGATCTACATTATGAACATCGTTTTAACAATGACTACTGAGATACCCTTGAACCTTACTAAGATGTCTAAAGCTTTTAAAGAGCAAGAGGAATTCAGATTTTGACCTACCTGACCATATTCAGTAACAGTGTCAAGACCAACTATTCCAAGATCCAGATCTCCTGAGAGTAACTTCCTCACAATGTCATTTGGCCGTTGAAACCAGACTTCTGTGTTCGGTAACTGGAGGACAGAAAATGATGAACAATGGCATGCGCCTCACATAAACATGAAACCAGAAAACATCATGCGCATTTGCATTTGCTCCAGATGTCTACCTGCGGAATCTGAGCCACATATTGCCGAGGATTGACTTGTTTGACGAACAATTGACAATCCTTCAAAGAAGCAAACAAAAGAGAGAGGTCAGAGTAAGCTGTTAGATCGCAAACCACTAACAGATACGAGAGACAATGTAATGAATTCAACCCTCTTGTCATTCACAAGAACCAAGCAATTATGATGAGCTTCGGTAACTGCCGAAGAAATCCAGAAGTGATTCAATCTTAAGCTTGGATTAAAAAAGCGCGCCGCCTTTAATGCAGGCTTGAGGCGAGGATGATTGAGGCAAATAAAAAGAAAAATGTATAATTCGGAAGATGAAAAGACAAAGAAGAAGATGAATGAATAATATCGAGGGACGTAAAAAATTATTAACTTTAGCTAACACAGTGTAATTACGCTACTGTCTTGAATGGAGGGAGGTTTTTATTCGTTTTTGGATTTAGTTTTTGGATTTTGGATTTTGGATTTTAGTTTTTATAGATTTATAAATCTAAAAAAACTGTAGCTTTTTTTCAATAAAATAGTTTTTCTGGTTTTTAAAAAAGACTAATTTTAAAAAATTTGATTGGTAACTTAAGTTTTAAAAATCTAAAAACTCCAAAAACTCTATGTGTAGCTTGAGAAGAACATATATGTATATATGTATAAATTTTAATTAATAAATAAAATATTTTATACCTAATATAATTTTCATTGATTATTATAAATATTCATTTACTGTTTTTATAAATACTAATCTATAATAAAATAATATATTATAATTTTTTAATTTTAATCAATTTATTTTCATTAGATCTTTAATAACTACGCTGTAAATATAATAATTTTTAAAAAATATATTTTTAATTTAAAGCTTGAAAACAATGATATATTTTTTTTATTTAATATAAATACTTTTGCACCTCGTATATCTGAGGCATGCGCCTTCCCTTCGCACCTGGCGCCTCGCGCCTCAGATTTTGGGACCTTTTATGCCTCACTGCGCCTAGCGCTTTCTAAAACTAAGATCGCAAGAGGTAACACAGAAGTAAGGAACTGCTGTAAATTCAACGCCAAAGGAAATGGATGTAAAAGTCAAATGGTCAACATTTGACCTCACAAGATAGGACCAAAACAATCGAGTATTCAGCAAAACTCGAGCCAATTTCGGATCAACTTCAGGTCAGAGCGTTATGAAAGACGGTCGCTATTCAAATCTTTCCAGCATTCCTTCGATTTGTTCCAAACGCACAGGAGAACCAAAAGCTACGTACCCAAAAGATGCTGACCCAAACCAATGGAGGAATATCCAAAAAACACAGTCAAGTGTCCCAAACTCAGCACAACAAAATCTACCGCGGCAAAATCCCTAAAAAACCGTCCAAGATTGCAGGAAATTTTCCAAATGTAGAGTGCGATTTCCCTTTCTGGGGAAACAAACAGAAACGGCACTATCTCACCTTGAGAAGATCAAGAGTATCAGAGGCCATTCGTCCCTTGCTAGGAAGACCAAGACGAATCTGGTTACGCTCCACTACAGCAGCACTGTTGTCGACGGAGCTCTGACCGTAAGATACGCAGCGCGTAACGAATCTCAGGCATCGCCGGCGAGGCCCGACGACGGAGATTCCGGTCGACGGCAACGGAGAGGAGGGAGGGAGGAAAGGGACAAAGGAAGGGGAGGGGCACTGCTGTAAATTCGTCAGAGGATTCGACATCGTCCGTTGAGTGGGCAGGGAGGGAGAGAGTGTTGTGATTTTATGTTTTCCCTTCTTTCTTTATTCAGCTTAAAAAACATTTGTGCCAATGCTTGTTAGGTGTAGTAATTGATTGATTGTTGACTATTAATCGTAACGCCAAGGATGCTGGTTGATGCATGCGTCTTTATGTATTTTAGTAGTAGAAGGAATGTTTTATTTGGGCTGGAATGTACAAATTAAGTGTAACAACGTGTTAGCTGGGGTTCACGATACAAAGAGAGCGTCGCCACAGTATAGAGGGAGAGATGCTGCCGTTAGATTCCGCCGCCAATTATTAATAGGAAAAAACTTGAAAATTCCCAAACTTGCATCCTGAACTTTAAAAGGTATTCTTATTTACTTCCAAAATTAAAAAATTAAACACGATAATTTCTAAACTTATTAAAGTGACGTCCCAATAATAATTTTGTCCAAAATAATGTGTTGAACAATCCTACGTAGTACGTGAATTGTCAAGACACGTCAAACTTTTAAGTCATGTATGCAGAACCGATTTTAATAAATACGGTTTAACAAAATTGATTCGTAATAATAAAAATTTCGGTTCACCGAAATATCTGGGATAATGACGGAGATCAGAGTAATTACTATCATCGTCGGTTCTCGAACTCTAGATGCAGACCGACGACGTCTCTACCAAAACAGAAATATTTGGCGGCGAAGTAACTGTCATCGGGGCTAGATCTCTTTCATCCCAAATTTTTCGATGAGAACGATGTCTTTCAAAGAAGAGATACGGTGATGAAAAACGTCATCGATGAATCCGGAAGTACCCTCCAAATTGTTATTTTTACTAAACCGGAATTTTTACTATTACGAACATGTTTTGTTAAACCGTGTCTATTAAACTTGATTCTACATACATGGCATAAAAGTCTGACGTGTTTTGATAATTCATACGCCACGTAAAATTGTTCAACACATTATTTTGGTCAAAATTATTGTTGGGATGATTATGACATTTTTAAATAAGTTTAGAAATTATCGTGTTTAATTTTTCAAATTTGGAAGTGAATATTAACACCTTTAAGTTTAGAAATTAGTGTTGCACTGAATTATAAGTTTAGTAAATTTCAAGGGGATTTTCCTTATTAATATTCCCTCTTCTATTTTTTTTTACAAAAAATTAAGAGAATATATAAAATTTCAGGAAATTCCAAACCTAGGTTTATTTATATTTATACTTTAAAAAGGGTAAAATATATACATAATGGAATTTCCTGAAATTTTATATATTCTCTTATTTTTTTTATATATATATAAAAAACAGAAAGGATTACAATCTAAAGATATAAAATATCTACGTAACGGAATTTCCTGAAATTTTATATATTCTCTTAATTTTTTAAAAAAAATAGAAAGGATTACAATCTAAAGATATATCCGATAAAAGGGTAAAATATGCCGAAATTGAAAATCATTATAAAAATTGTAATGAAACAAAAAAATTGTATCAAAATTCATATAATTATAATAATGGGTGATAGTTACATCTCAAGCTACAAGACAACATTGGACTTTACTTCTCGTTATTACATCAAAATCACCAATAAATAATTCCCACACAGGAAAAAAAAAATACTTACAGATTCAAACTCAACCCATAACCCTAAAGAGCATGAACCAATCAAGATATATTTTCACTTCAATATCATCAAGTCTCCGTGTGAAAAAGCCTTCAGCTTTGGTCAAAGTCATGTACGGCCGGAAGAACACAGTGTGTGGACTCGTACTTGCATCTCTCGCAACAAGCCTGCAACATTTCTATCACTTTCCGGCACCTGCAAAACCCAATTCCATGGACGATGAGAAGACGTATTTTACAAGAAAGGCGGAGATAGGAGAAAGGAGAAAAAACCCGAGAGACAAGTCGAATCTCACTTTCCCACTATACCCCTGGTCAATAATCAGGCATCGCATATAGGATCATATTGTGATGACAACTGATAAGGAAGGATCAACTTCCATTTCCTGATTCTGCAACTACTACACTGGGAATGATGACAACAACATCTTCATGGAGTTGAAAATATCAAGAGATGATCCGTCTTAACACCAAGAATTTAACATTTATCTAATATGAGACACCAATTATCAGAAGCATATTGAGTGGAAATCAAGCTAGTTGCTCTATTCATACTTGTATTGAGAGTGGTAGTGATATTAATTTATATAGTGCCAAGGGTCTCAATCTAATAGCTCTATGCATTAGAAGTAAATCTATAATATCGAGATCGCTGAGGGAACGACGTGCATGCAAGGAAAGAGCACTAATAAGATTACAAAAAGGCCAGCTCCAGTGTCATTTTCATGAGGAAATTTCGATAATATGTGGATGGTGTTCTTGGATAATGCCAGAATCTTGTCAATTTTTTTGGTGAAATGTGTTCGTTTGAGGCCTCATAAGACATGCAACCAAGTGACAGCATACAATACAATACTCAGTAACAGCTGATGAACAAATTCAATCCTCTAGATTATCGAATCCAAAATCATAACAATGAAGCTTTATATAGGATTTCATTCATAACCCACCCCGGGCGGGCACTTGATGATCAATCAATACCCTCACCAAGAACAAACTAAAGAAACCGTATTCACAGAGGAGCAGCCAAAACAAGAACAAAGAGGATGCCACAGATGGTTGAGATATCCAAAACACCTAATCTTGAATATGGATCCTAATATTTTTTTTCCCAGAACAAAAACACACAGCAAAATTATCATATAGATTGGAACAGGAAACAGGAAGATGACCAACCATGAAACACTCACTATCAAACGAATAAAATCATTAGTTTTTTTTGTATTGTTTACAACCAGTATTCAGTATGCGAAAATGGGTAATGCACCTACTATCCTCAGCACCTTTGAATCCACTAGGAAGCACCAAATTTCACATAAATTAGTAAAACTCAATCGATTCGCTTTGATCGAGACACGAACCCTAATCCCCAAATATGTAAAAACCCTAGCCCGTATTCCTAATTCCAATGAACCCCTTGTTCCAGCGAGAAACGCAAAAACCATGCAACCAATCAACCATCAAAACGGATTGTGATCCTGGACAAGAAAACCTCACGAAGCCCAAAAACGAAAAAAAAAACGCGAAAAAAAAGGAGAGAAACAAAGCATAACCTTTGAGGAAGAAAATTGTTCTTGGAGAGACAATGATTGAATATCGCAAGCCTCCTTTTTGCAGGGTTCTTTGCTTGGCTGCGCCATGCCTCTCTCTCACCACCTCAATTCGCAGCTCTGTTGGTTTTCCGATCACCGACTTTGATCGACGGAATTTGTCCCTACAACAAAACTCGGGAGAAGAACAAAATTTTACAAATTCTCACATATATAATATATATATATATACATACACACACGCGCAACCAAACGACCACCATAATCGCATCAGAGTGATGTCCTTTCTCTTTCTGTTCGATTTGGGAATTATAAAAAAAAAGATGCGGTGAGCGTGGATCGAACACGCGACCTTCAGATCTTCAGTCTGACGCTCTCCCAACTGAGCTATCCCCGCTGATCGACGTAAGCACAAGACAAACATTTGAAGGGTGCTAACGTGGGGTTAATTCAATAAATTTGTAACCATTTATTTATGATGATTATGTTTGTAAGGATACCGTGAAATGCTTGCTCGCCACAACAAAAATATGTCAATGTTTTCAAGTTTTTTTTTTTAATTTTCGTTCCATGTTACTTTTTAAAAAAAAATATATTGATTATATATCTAAAAATTAGACACACGTATAGGATCATGTATGAAATGATGGATTATCCGACTGTCGAATTTGAATTCGGATAGATGCGAGTCTTACATTAATAGTATGAGAATATCCAAAACTTAAAAAAATATTATTTACATCTTATATATATATATATATATATATATATATTATTGTTTTACAAATTCACACGATTAAAAATAAATTCGCTTTGCCATCGACGTCATTTTGGGGATACCGGGAGATATCCAAGCATTTGGTGTAATCGATAGGATCAAATTCAAGATCGGATTTCGAACCTTAAAAATTCAAATCGTTTGGATTCGAAATCATATATTCTAAAAAATCTGGGATGTTCAAATGATACTTAATTATACGGTTGGAAATATTAATACAAGTGGTAAAATGGCATGGATATTTCAGAAAATGGACGGTTCACGTTGATACCGTTAATTGGTACATTCAACAACGATTGTATGTTAGTTAATCCCACCAATGAAAGTGATATACAAACTAAGAATGTATAGAATATGTCAGTGTCGTATTTGTGCACGTGCTAAAAATCAGGAAGATTGTTAGGGTGAGATATATTTTCTTAGATTTGGTTTAACACAAAAAAACATGAAATACTCAGATTTAAATAAAGTCCAAAGAAGATCTACAAATATAAAAGGAGAGCAGATCTACAACAGATTTATAAGCCAATAGAAAGAGAACTTTGGAGCAGAACAATTTAGGAGTGCAGCCAGAATGTTGAGGGGAGTTGGCAAATCGTCCAGGAAACGTTTTGGGATTGCATGATCGATAGAATTCGCTGCCTGATAGGGAACAAACTTAGGGAGAATTTGCATTGGTAGCGTGGATTAAACTCGAACGAAAAAGAATCGTAATTCATACGTCAGAGCCTTGGAACGTACGAGCCTGCCGAGGAGATTCAATCAACAACCACGGTGGATAGGAGGTACATGAGGAAGAAGACCACATGTCGTCTCACTCCAATTGGCGCGGTAGAGATGTTGGAGAAAACTTCGAGGCAGATGGAAATGATAGCAAGAAAACATGCGCAAGAATGTAGACAGATCAGGATCAAGATAGACTCAGTTTTTATCATTTTCTTTAACTTCTCCATTTTGTTTAATGTTCATATTGCTATAGGATATTTTTGTCCTCCTACTCAGATGTTGAAGACGAAGAGACTGCAGGGCTTGATTCGGGAGCAAGTACAACTGCGCAGACAAATAGAACCGAGGAAGAAAAGGCAAAGAAATGACACTGAAGCAGTTTAGTGTGTGCGGTTAAGCGGCTATTATTCCTGAACCGATGCTTTGTTGCTGTGTTTTAGAACTCTTGTCTAGTTAACAATCAGGAAGGCTGTTATGGTGAGATGGATTTGCTTGGATTTGGATTAACGTAAAAAGAGATCGGATCTGTTCAGATTTGGATATATATATATATATATATATATAATAGATTTACAAGCCAATAATAAATAAAAAAAATGCAGAGAGTATAAGTCTCGTGGTGAGTAACATTTGAATGAAAGTGAGGTAATAGTGAATGAAATCCGAAAGTTATAATCGTTTACAGAAATACTTTGGAATTATATGATCGATTGAAATCACTCTATATAATAGGGAACAAATTTAGGGAGGGTTATGTCGATGGCGCGAATTTAGCCCGAATTTCATGTTCTTGTAAATGTAAATGAATAGAATTAGTTTGCGAAATTTGTCAATGTGAATGCGTGTTCAGTTTTAACTTTTTCATAATAAACACATACATTATCAGCGTATGTGATCTAAAGGTGCTACCGAATTAAGACGTCATAACCATTTCGAAATTTGGTTAACACGTGTACCCATGTTAACAAGCTTCGACTATGATCAATAATGGATGATTACTGGTCGAACATTTAAAATTTTAAATATTAACATTTCTAATTCGATAAGTTTCGAGTGTAGGGTATTTTCAACTACCAGAATTTGAACTGTGTACAAAATTATGGATAAATTTATAATCTTTAGTAAAATATAAGCGATATTTTTTTAGAAATTTTAATAAATATCAAGTATATTTTGCAGTATCGGATAATCAAATTCGGTTCCTATACAAACAAGATTTCTCTGTGTCCACATTACCTACCTCGAGTACCATTTGGACCAAACCTAACAAAATTTTCATACAAATCTGAACTAAAATAACACTAAAGCACACAAATTCCAAAAACAAAAAAAAACACACAAACAGCACTTCAAAATGAACCAAAAATAAAGAATTTAAGAAAAAAAACCGAATTTCATGGAATTCTTACCAAAGTGATGCTTCATAACATTACTCTGAGCTATTCGAATCGTCATCCTCATCATCCTCATCTAGACCACTCTGCTGTGGCTGTGTTTGCTCGCTCTGCTCCACCGCTTTGTTGTTCGTGTGATCACCGTTTGCTTTTGCAGTTTCGTTTGGTCCGGGTCTTGCGTAGGCAGCGTTCATCGCCGCTAACATCCCCAGGTTTGAATCCGACATCCCTAACCCTAGAGTCTGCGTCGGTTGCGGCTGCGTGAAGATCGAACCCAGTTGGAATGCACCTCCTCTGTACTGATCCATCGCAAAACTGTACCCTGTTCCCGCCATGAACTGCGCTGCCGCGGCCGCTTGTGGCGGCGGCGGATTCGAGAAGGGCCACATCTGGGCACGGTGACCTCCCCATCCCCGGGTTCGAATCCGAGCCCGACGCCGACGGATTACCGGTCGCAGCCGTCACTGGAAACATCCAGAAGGTGTTGCCGGAGGCTCTGCTTGCCGGCGTCAACGCCCACAACGCCGCCGCCTCCGCCGGCGACATGTCATTGTTCTTCGGGGATTTGTTCACCGGCCCGGTCTGGTTGTTATGGTTCAGATCCTCGTTTTCCTTCGTCAAATCATCGGATCTGTACCGTTTTCTCCCAAAATTCTCGTCGTCAGCTCCCCGAATCGTCCCCGCCTCCTGATCTGATGCGGCGACGGTCAACCGCTGGCTCTGATTGTGATGTTGTTGTTGAAGATGGTTCCATAGAAATGGCGGCGCGTGGCTCCCAAACACGCTTCCCGGTTCGTCGTACTGGTGGTGATGCTGATTCAGCCCTAGCGTACCGTACAGCGGCGCCAACTTCGACGGCGGAGCTGAGAGCGTGGATCCGCTGCTTCGCAGCCGGGATGGTTCCGGTGCCGGTGGCGGCGATGATTGCGGGCTCCGCCTGCTGGAGAAGCCACTCAATTGTCTCTCCGTCGGATTTGTGGCCGAGCTCCCTCGTCAACTGGAAAACCCTCGCCGCGCATAGCGCCGGCATCCTGATCCGCCGCCCCCTCCCGTCGACCTTCGTGTGCCGGTCCTTCGTAGACCGCTTCGCCAGAACCACCGCAGTGGAATTCGTCGCCGCCGAGGAAGACGACGTCGTTGCGGCAGCAGCGGTGGTGTCCGGAGGCGTAGATCTGGTGACAAATGCAAGAGACGCGCCGTCTAACTGTCTCGAAACCTTCGTCGAACCTCCGCCACCGGCTCCGGTGGCAGTTGAGCTATCGTTGATTCGAACGCCCGCGAGGTCCATTCTCAGTGACAAAAGCCCCAGATTCTGCTGTTACACTCAAAATACCTCCAAAAAAGAAGGAAGAAGAGAGTATAAGGACCAAGCTTCAGAAATTAGGGTTTAGAGAAGGAGAGTGTGGCCATGGTTGCTCCGATTGTCTTCTTCTTCGATCTTTGACTCTTGTCTTCTTCGTCGGCGTTTGAGAGAGAGAGGAGAAAGGGTTCGACGACGGGAGAGGCAGGTGAAGGACCTTTTGGGAAAAGGAGGAGAAGAACAATAATTTAAAAATTAAAGTGACTTTTTTGTAATATGAATATTATCATAAGGGAATTAAAATAATAAGAATGGTTATAAAAAAAAAGGAAGAAAAAGAGGGAGCTCTAGCCACTCGCGGGGTCTCCTGAAAGGAATGTTTTAAAAATTTATAATCAAATAATTTTTAAACCATATTTTATTTAAATACAATTATGCATTATTTGCTTCGTTTTTATATAAAAAAAAAGTATTTCTAGAATCAATTTTAAAAAATATACCTAAACCGAGCGATATTGCACTTCAAATTAAATCGTTATCACATAAAAAAAAAACCCCTAAATATACATCTATACAATATTGTAAGGGAATTTTTGTTAGTGTCATGGATTTTATATTCTAAAATTCCTTAGAAATTAATACGACAATGGAAAGGCTGACAACAATGACCACAAAAATAAATGAACCGACGGTGAAGGATAAGGATGGTCCGTTATGCGAATAAATTACATGTCAATTTCAAAATGGCTGACAAAATATGTAGCGCCTTGTAATTATGTTGAAAATGTGCACCTAACTATGGACTACAAAGTCTAATATACGACTACATGTTAGTCAATATCTATTTTAATGTATTGTTGAAAAAAAAAGACCGATTTAATTAATGAAATGGAAACATAAAAAAAAAAGCGTCGGATGAATAAAAACGCACACGGAGTACAGAAGAAAACTTACAGTGTAGGTTAAAGGTCGCAGCATCAAATCAAATAGTAACGATTACCATCAGTATCAAGCGATGGCAACCGAAAAAACGATATTTTTTCCGATCCGTACCGTTCTAAATTTTCGAACAGCATTATTTTTAGAAAACCGAATTTTTCTAAACCAAAACCAACCGAACCGAATTTTAAAAAATTCTGAAAAACCGAATTTTTTTTAATAAAAATCGGAACCGAAGTGAACCGATACCGAAATTGAATCGGACCGAATATAATATAAAAACCGATTGATACCTATTTTTGTAAAACCAAACCGATGTATTTCCGTCCTAAACATGAATCGTTTTCCGAAACGTCCATACCTAATATCAACATCCATTTTTATTTGGATCGACCGAATGAATTCTTCATTCTTACTCATTTCGATTTGGATTGTACGTTATCTCTTTCAAAATTTACAACAATTTAAAATCACTCTTAATGACACATTCACAAAAAAAAAAAAAAAACTTACGCATTGTTGGTTCGTTTATTTTAATTAAAAATATCGTAAATTCATATATATATATATATATATTATATGAGCTTCAGAGTGGGGTAGTGATGAATGAATCATTAGTTTTAGTTTACGCGTTTTTTGTATTTGAAATATATATTGTTGAATATGGCATCACATAACATATGCTCTCTGGTTTGCACCTACCAACAAGAAGAAAAAGAATTCAACTTTGTTACCTTTCTTGATATTGTTTACTGAAAAAGCTCAGTTGATTTTGGTATCACCCACTGCCTCAGTGGATTTTATTTTTGGAATTCAAGAATGCGTGACTTGTTTCCCACGTAACAGACACGGAGATAGTAATGATGGTTAACGGATCATATGACATTGAGCTGAAACCTAATAACGGAGTGAGATTACTTGCACTACAAGCTTTCCCCTTGAATTCAGAGGAAATAACCTAAATGTAGCGAGAGGTTCAGCGTGAAGAGAGGCAACAGAAATATCACACACCCCTTTATATTCCCATTCCCCTCTCCTGTCTCCTGTCTTTCCATTGAGGGGAAAAGAACAAAAATTTTTAAAAAAAAACACCATCGATTCCATTCAAAAGAGACAAGGAGAAAGAAATCTCTTCTGCTCTCTTCCCATGTTGCTTCCTTAAATTCAAAACATTAATCTCCTCTGTTCATCATCATCATCATCATCATCGTCATCATGCAGTCTCGCTAGGGTTCTTTTATGGAGAAGATGACAAGGAAAATAGGAAGCAACATCAGAGGATTGAGCTGAAATTGTGAACCAGACATATAGTTCACAAGAAAAAAAAAGACATACGTACATATATATATCTGTGTCTGAAAGAGCAGAAAAAGGTGGCGTAGACAAAGCAAGAAACACGACATGGAGGTTCAGAGGATTAAGCAGTTGATGTCCCTTTGGTCGAATAAGCAGAGCGATCGGATCTCTCTCGTCGGTGGGAATCACACTGCTGCAAGGTTCTGTAGTCGCTAGAACTTGGTTTCTTCTTCTTCTTCTTCTTCTTCTTTCCTCTATTCTCTTTTCCTTTCCTTGCTCGCTCTTCCTCTCTTATTTACCCTTCCTTTCGATCAGATCTGTCTCCTTTTTTTTCGTGTTTTACTCGCTTTCTCCTTTCACAACTCTTCACCTATATTTTATGCTGTCTTGTCTGAGATTTAAGGCACAAAGAATGGTGCTTGTTATGGTTCAAGGCTTTCGATCAATGTGCCGAAAGCGTATGCCTTTTCTCTTGAAAAGCAAAACCCGTTTGAGCTTGAGTTCTCGCGCGTATTGGGTCCTTAGGGCTCCTCATTCTGGAGTTGCGTCCCTCGTCGCGAGATCAATGCTTCTGGTTTTACTGTTTCTGTCATTTTCTTGGTTAAGTTTCTCGAGGTCTGGGGTCATTCCTTCTGATTCTGCAGCTAGATCGGTTGATCGTTTTGAATCTGATGCTGTCGAGAATCCCGACGAGATCTTACCTTTGCTTTTCCATGATCTCGAGAAGGAAGGCCTCTTAAGGCTTGGAGATAAAACTCTCTTTCTGAGCAGTGGAGACGATGAACTCAGTGTCTCTGGATGCTCTCACATTGTGAATCAAGATGAGATGTTTCTTGTATCTGCTACCGATCTGGAGAGGCAAAGCACGATTCCTAGGGAGATCTTTGATTTCGCATTCACTTACGCTCGTCATATCAGCTCTGCCGAGTTTATAGACCGAACTCTCAAAGTTGGCGGCATCCTCGCCGTCCAGTTCGATCATCAAGGCCCTCCTTCGGGATTCTTGAAACCTTCCAACTACGAAATCGTCTATTTGAGGCGTTTCCAGCGCACGATCTTGGCGATGAGGAAAACGGGTGACGCAGAAAAGATTCAGAATTCACTCGCCAAGAGAAAGCTTCTCGATTTCACTGTAGAGGAGGCCAGGAGAAGGGCACTGAGCAAGCTTGAGGATGTTCTCTTGGAACCCCCGAGAGCTTCGTCAAGAAAATCAAGAACATATCTGAAACGAACACGTTACCTTCCCGACCTGATGGCAGACTCATTGGACCTCGACAATTACCCGAGACGGGTTTTTATCGACGTGGGCATGTCGGGGAGCAGAGGAGGAGGAGGGAGCGTGACCGAATGGTTCGCCAAGAATTACCCGACGAGAAACCTCGAATTCGAGATGTACAAGATAGAGACGGTGAGTGAAGACAGTAGCAACAACGAGATGAATCTCGAGATAGACTCGGTTCCGCAGCGAATGGGGATGTCGGAATGGATGAGGGAGAACGTGAAGGAGGAAGAATACGTGGTGATGAAGGCGGAGGCCGAGGTGGTGGAGGAGATGGTGAGGAGCAAGTCGATTAAGGTAGTTGACGAGCTTTTCTTGGAGTGCAAGCCAAAGGGTCTAGGGTCTGGAGGAAGAAAAAGCCAGAGCAACAATGGCGGTAGGGCTTATTGGGAGTGTTTGGCACTGTATGGGAAACTTCGGGACCAAGGTATCGCCGTTCATCAATGGTGGGGTTAAATTGTAAGAACTAAGAACATTCAGGGGTCTGGCTATCAATTTAAGAACAGGGAGCGGGAGTTTGATTCTTCTTTTGTGTTGCGTCTGTTTGTTCTTCTTCTTTTTACTCTACATCTTGAGATTATCAATTGTGTTGTTCGTCATTCCATTTTCCTTCTGTTTTTTATATTTTATTTTGTAATTTCTTAGAAAAAGATAATAACTTACGAGATTATTTTACTCCAACAACGTTTTCGAATTTTTATTTTATTTTATTGTCAGGTTAATATTTTTTTAATAACCAAATTGGTAAATATTCAAGAAAAAAATTGAAAGATCCATTACTTAATATTATGTGGGTTGTGTTTAAGCCTTGTTCGAATGCTCGATTCTGAGACTGTGTAAAGTATTTATTCATTTATAAGATTCACCTTTTATTTTTTTAAAAAAATCAAAGAAAATATGTATGATTTTTCTAAAACTTAAATTCCAAACCAGAAATATTTATAAAAAGAATTATCGAAACAGTCTTTTTTTCCCCACGATTCACAAGAAGGGCAACGACATCAACAAAGACCACAGGTTGCATTGATGAATACAGCTTTTTAAACTCTTAACTCACAAACAACACATCAGAACAGAACAAGGGTTCTTGCTTCAGTTCAAGAGTTTGAGAGAAGTTTACCTTCGCATACAAAACCTGTAATAAAACACCCATCACTGGTGTTAGAAGATAACATTTTCTCACTATGGCTGGCAAAATTATATCCGTCGATACCCGATTTTAGAGTATTCATTTTCGTTCGAATCCGAATTCATGAATCCAAATCCAAATCCTGGTAACTCAATTTTTTAAAAACGGATACCCTACTTGTTTTGTTATACAAACAATTATATATCTTTTATTTGCAATAGGTGCGCCTCTCGCCTCGGATTTTAGGATCTTTTACCGCCTCAGTGGGCCTCGCGCTTTTTACAACCAAGCTTGGGCTACGAACGAAATCAATGCAGTATAAATGCCTAAATATAAAATTTCGCATGCTTGGATTTGAACAAGAAGATGTAAACAAGTGAATGAAAAGATGAACAAATAGAAAAGCCGCCCCTTAGATGAAGATTTTCCTAACTAACATGATAAAAACAAGAGGTAACTGGCAAAAGGCGTTATAGCAGTTTTACCTGTTTACGCTGAAGAAGCATCGTCTTTGGATTTAGCGATGATGACGGGACATCGAGCGTGGTTGGTGCAGTAGTTGCTTACACTTCCCAGAAACATCCTGTTGTCCATAAACAAAATATGATGAGAACATTATCGGTAGTAGCAATACTATAAACCATGAACAGATTGATCGATTTCTTCGTAACCATGACAGAACTCTGGCAAGATTAACATAACTTCATCGCAGCAACAGCATAGAGGAGTGAAGAAGGAGGAGGAGCTCCTTCAGACAAGCAAACATCAAAATCAATCATTCCTCGAATTATAAAAAGGAAACTCAATCTCCCTCCAAAATCATAGTGAGAGCGGTATCGGAGTCTAAACAGGTAACCTTGCATTTCTTTCGGCATGTTTTTACAACCGAGTTTTCCGGTTTCTCTCAACCATTTTAGGCTTTTTACTCGTTTATTGCAAAAGATAATTCAAACCCTCGACATCAATTACCATGTAGTAGCACATGCAGCAACTGAAACTTCAGCCGGATTTAACAAGAGAAGCATCCTGGTTTATGATATCTAGCTATCGACTGAGCAAATCAGACAAATGAGTAGAGCACAAACATAGAAAAATAAACAACTGATCTTGGTTTGATCATTTCATCAGATTATCATCAACAGGGGAAGACATTGTTCACCTTTTAATAGGTCCAATGGCCCGACAACCCATGACGAGTAAATCAGCATGCAGATTCTCCACAGCTTCGCAGATCTTCTCCTTGGGATCCCCGACAATCACTATGGTTTTCACATTCACCTTGGAGAAAATCATATCAACTTGTCTCAGAAAATTTCCCTCAAACCAACACAACACAGCTAGATGATCAATCAGACACGTAAACCAGAGCTAGTTCTAGAATCTATTATGGTCTGAAACGACACATCCAAAATGTTCTCACGAAAAGGACTCACGGATTTGTCAGAACAGATTTGAAGAGCGTGTTTCAGGATCGCATCAGTGATCCGCTTCTGGTGAGCCTCAATCGCAGCGGCGAAAGCAGGAACCTCGAGACCACCTTCACCGAATTTCCCAGATTCATCAATAAACCCAAAGTCCATAAACACAGATACATACATACACCAAAAGTGGGGGTAGATACGAGACTCAACTGGGTCCACCGAAAGGTATGGTGCCGGGATTCAAACCGGCGGCGATGGACGGCGGAGACTGGACATGGAGGACGACGAAGGAGGAATCGGGCGAAGACGGAGAGAGCTTGAGATTGTCGAGAGCCCATCTCAGAGCTTCCATGCTCGCTTCGCTTCCATCCACTGCTACAATCACGCACTTCAAGCTACCCGAAGCATCCATGGCCGATTTTCTGTCTCTATTTTGCAATTGACTTTTTTCGAGTATAGAAGGGGAAAGGTCGGTGCCTTTCACGTTCCGTATTGCGTCTTGACTCTTGACGGGTGCTCTATCCAAAAAGGGCATATCTGCCATTTCACACTGTATTTTTTCCGGATAAAATGTCCGACAGGAACGAAAAAGATCTGCTATTTATTTAGCCGACTTTTGTAATTTGTAATGGGCTGTAACGAAATAAAACCGTGTATTTTTTAATTAGCTAAAAAATATCATAATACAAAATTACAAAAAAATATCATAATTACATACAAAGTTACATTGCATTTACACGAGTTTTTGAATGGAATTTTAGCTCCAAAACTCAGTGTCTGAAATACTGAAAGTATCAGTGTTATTGTCTGAACAAAGTCTCCACTTCTCGATACTGCAATCCGACAAATCATAATAGCATCCATAAATACCCAAAACCCTTCTCTTCACCCTCTCTCTTATCCATGGATACGTCAACAAGTTCATCACCGATTCCCTTATCGATTCCTGCATCAAAATTTTCCATCTTTCATGTGAATTCATTATGATGATGTTTAATCAATATTTTATCCAAATTTGGACAGTTCACAAATTTAGGATTCCGGTCCTTAAAAGACTTGATGTTTTCACCTTCTCACAGTATCTGCATTGCTGTTCAAAGCTTAGTCCCCATGCATTTGCTCTTGTTCTTAGTTTCACAGCTTCAGCATTCATCACCCATTTCTCCACGAATTTGCTGAAATATCAAAGAACTGTTTAATCCGACATCGAAGTAGAGAAAAAAAAAGGAATGGTAAAGAACTACGAGTTTTTTTCCCGGGTTCGAATCCGAAAATGATACCTGGAGTCTTGTTCTTGGTGTTCTTGTAGCTGTAGATTCATCAATGCCTCGATTCCTCCACAGTTGCTATGACCCATTACTATGATTCTCTCCACCTTATACCGAACACACGTTTTTCGCTATCACACATGAACGCGAGTTTTTATATTTTCGCGGAATTCGCATATGTTTTCACTTACCTGAAGAGTGTTTACAGCAAATTCCAGAGCTGAATTGGTTTCCGTCGGACCGTTCTTTTCGCAAAAAAGGAAACAGAATCCAAAAGGGTAAGCGACTTATTTGACAAGAATACGAGAAAATGTAAGGTGTATAAAGCGTATATACCTGTATCGGCGGGACGAGGTTAGCAACGTTCCGTACCATAAAGGCTTCGCCGGGTTCGAATCCAAGTACAGTAGAAGGGCATGCCCTTGAATCCACACACCCTATTACCATAACCTGTTCTTTGCCCCTTTGTCAGTTTCTGCCTTAGATTCTTGGTCATTCGATTTCTTGATATCGCAATTCAAATACCGTTTTCACTTTTCATGTCGATGAAACACGGTTCGGATTGAAGAAGAGTTTTGGAAATGGGCATTCACCTTAGGAGCTTGAGCTTTGGCCAGTGCTTGAAACTTGTCCAAATCTTTCCTGGTGGATCCATCGACACAGAATTAGGCGAAATCAATCGTAAAAATCGTAAAAGAGAGAGTCCCAATATAAATGGTTAGAATAAAGATTTCAAACAAGATTCAGACCAGAACAAAAACAAAGATTAACCAACTGTTCTGAAATATCAGAACATGAGTTTGGGTCAATAGTCCTTTTTGCTTACAGATACTTGTCTCTCTTGAAGCTCAGAAATCTCTGTCTGATCTCATCAAGAAGATCCGAACTCGTTCCCGTTTTCTTGTTTCGCTGCGAAGGATCTAACCCAGCTTCCCATTCCCGGGAAATATCCGCTCTTCTGCATCGAGAAAAGGCGATACGTTTCAGCCCGAAATCTTCCGGTCTTTAGACAAAGAAACAGAGAAGCTATGTTCTTCACATTCCCAACCAGCCCAAATCCACTTGCATATCGTTTACATACCCTCCCAACACGCGGTTTTGAGATTTTATAACCAAAATTTGTCGATTTATTAGCGATCTTCCGAATCGTTAAACCCTAATTTGCAAATGTTTTGATAGAGTATAATGCCCTCTCAGTTCATCCAAACCTGGGCAATAATGGTCTTGCTTTCGCTTCACCAAATTGAAATGGATATGATCCTGTCTGTTGCAGCTGCAGAACATTTAAACAAATTTTTTTTTTTGGAGTTATATGTTCAAAAAAAAACATCATGGAACTTGAAGAATCATGTTTGAAGATGTCTATGGAGAGATCACGTGGGGTTACCCTTTGAAGAAAGCCATGCTTGCGAATTGCAGAAGAAACCGCAGGGAGGGTTCTTGCGCCTGAACCATGGATTCAAAACGACTCATACTGTCGCCGTTTTGGCGCGGATTGGGAGGGAAAATTCGAATCGAGACTGGAAGATTTAGATCTTTACGGGGAAAAAATGACTTACAGAGTGTGAACGCCATGTCTGGTGTTATCTTCTTGTGTTCCTCTGTTTGTTTCTGTTCTGTTCTTACAGGAAGATCCTCTTCGTTTTTGCTCTGTCTAGTTTTAGAAAGTGATTCCACGCTTTGTCACGAGGTTGACATCGTTATGATCATCTCCCTCTCTCTCTCAAAATTTTTGTTTTTAAATCACCGAAAAGCATCCCTGAAACTCCGCGACAAAGAATAAGAAAATATATAAAATTAGATATTTAGTTTTTTATTCTTTTTTTCCAGTGACTTATTAATTTATTATATTAATTAATCGTTCATTTCGTAAACTAAAGAAGAAAGGATTTAGACAATACATGGAAAAAAGAGCAAAGTGAAAAAGAATACGTAACGCGACCACTCAAGATCGATACGCTTATCCAATATTCAGTGACCATGTTTATCCACCGGATCGACGCATAGTTGCCACGTCATATCTTCTATCCGTTATTTATTATTTATCTTTTTCTCATTTATGCGTAGTTATTTATTTATAAAATTAATATCCATTAAATCGGGAAAATTAACTTAATCTGGATTTTTATAATAACCCGAGAAACTCATTTTTCTTGGGAATTTTTAAAATTACTCTACTGTGACTAGATAATCTAAACCCTAAAATCTCATGAATACAAAAGAATTTGACTCATTTCAACACAACTAAATATTTTAACGATTTTTTATTTTTTATTTTTATTTATAAAATATAGTTTGGGCAAAAAAAAAATAGTCAATATCAAACAAATAGATACAAAAAAGAGTACACGGTCATGAGCAGTTTTACATGAACACGGAATATTGGAATTGTCTTTAATGTGATTTTTTTTGTATTTAGATTAGTTTATTAGGCCTCGGTCCAATTAAATCCATCATGAATCACAAGGTAACGTTACTACAATTATAATGTGATTTTATTAGAGAACAATTTAAATTTGGGTCTAGTTGTTATGTTATTGTTTGTTCCTATTTGATTTTCAAATTCACCCCGACGACAAAATCTTCGTGAATTTAGTTCATTCTATGTAACTTCAAACGATATTAACGATGATATTCATTCAAATTTATGTTTACGCATAATATTCCGTATGCATTTCGTCTCCAAAAAATTCCATGAGCAATAAAATTATTATGTGTGGTTGACTTGTGGATGCGTATCAAGTATTCGTATTGAATTAAACCCTAATTTTCAAATATAAATTTTATATAAGATTTTTAATATCAGAATTATTTTATAGTAAAATTAATGTCGTAATTGTCACAAATAGGGGTCGCATGGTCGGATATCGGGATTTTGGACTCGTCCTCATATTATCTGGTGAACATCCATGGGATATCGAATCGAGTCGCAGACTCGTGAAGATGATGGCAAGGCGTTCGATTGTCAACCGAGAATGAGGAAAGAAGAAAGAGAAAATATAGCATATTCGATAAGATGGATCTGTGGAGTGATGAGTAGGAATAGAGAATGGTTCTATTACTGTTAATTCAGATTTGATTATATCGATTTTTAAAAAAATTCATAACCAAATATATTTATATAATTTTAATCGATTCGATTCGTATCGATTATAAATTAGTCTAGTTTCCAAAAAACCGAATCATTTTTTGGCCCCTAACGACGAGCGGCGGTCGACGATGCAAAGTCGTACCCGCTCGTCACAGTCCTAGGTCAATCTTCATAGATTCAGAGAATGTTGCGATAGGGATTTAACAAACAACCGAGTGTGTGGTGATTCGGGTCAGATTGGATTTTTGAAAAATTCGTTTAAAAAAGCCTAACCTCTCAAGTCTCAACCCTTGCGCGGTCACGCCGTCTAGCCCTCGACTCGAGAGGCCATACCCCGAGTACATTCTCTCTATCCCTCGACTTTGTATCGGAACTCGGGTTTCCAAAGGCTGACGTACCGGTTTCGGGTAGTCGGATTTTTTTAGGGTAAACACGGCCACCGCTGGTTACAAGACAACAGAAAAATGTTACTCCTAATTCTCGGGAGGATTTTGCCTTGGCATTCACTTGCCCGAAATAAATACCTCCGCGCGTGACCTCAGACGCGCTTAGAGAAATTCCGTTTGGCTTCTTGTTGACTCGTCTCGCCTTTTGCGTCTCCCTCTCCCCCCTTTTCGCCAACTCCGATCTCCGATTTCCGACAGCCGACGAGGATTCTCCGTTTACCGGCGAATCTTCCTAGGTTTCCGAAACGATGACGAGAAGCGTCGAACCTTTGGATTTCAAAGAAGAGGACGAGCTCTGCGAACTCAATTCTGGGGAATTGCTGGAGAATCTCGGAAACCCTAGCCCGGAAAATTCTCCGGTTCTGCAACACCAGTGCGTCCGAAACTGTGAGTTTTTCATTTTCTTCCTTTTGATTTTTGAGTCTGCCATCTTAATCTCCCGCTCCAGTTTCAATTCCGAAGGTATATGGAGACATTGAGCTATTTGAATATGAGGTAAACGAAGCTAAGCTGTGAGATAATTTAGTGAGAATTCGAACGATTATTGCATTGTTTCTGGACACTGCTACTGTCGGGTGGTGGTATACCTTCTGGGTTCTGTTTCAAAACTTTGGGTGATTTTTAACGTTTTCTGATTATGGCATGGAACATTCGAATTTGTCCTTTGCATAGTTTTCTTGTTCTACTTTTTGTTATGTTCACTGTCTGCCAAAATTCTGGGAGAATCTATGCGGATTTGACTGCTTATAGACAGTTAAATTTTGTCCAGTTTGCCAAGAAAATTGTATTCGGAATGAATACATGGGAGGTTCAAGTCTTGTAGAAGCTGCTGCTGTTGAAAGCGATAGTATGCGTGAAGAAGATGTTCCCACTGTTGTGGCAGAAGCCGAGGATTCAAGGCTGAGTCCAGCGTTTCAGTTGGATTTTGAAGTACATGAAAAAGAAACAGATGTGGGTCAAGTTAATCATGGACCTGTGACTTTCTCTCTTGAGCCAGGCTCAAAGAATTTCCGTGGTGAAATATCTTCACCTAGCAAATACCAGCTAAACTCATGCATCTCTGATTCTCCGCCCAGCGTATGTAAAATCTTGTTTATTTTGTTTATTTTCACATACATGAGCGCATTACAATTTTTAACTCACTATTTCTTGTAAAACTTTGCAGCAGGAGCAAGGTGATATGATTTCAGCTAACGTTGAAAGCTTGAGCGATCACTCTTCATTGAGCCTGGCATCTGATTCAGAAGGTCAAGGAGCTACAATTTATGGTTTATTCATCTTGTTTCCTAATTGAAGCCCGATGACACATTCTTATGCTTTTTCATATATTGTTTTTTTGTGTGCCAGATATGCTGAAAAATTGGACGTTCGGTGATATGGAAATGGTAATGGTTTTCATATTTTCTGAAGCTTTGGCTTTCTACTGAGTGTAGACTAATGTAGTGCAAGCTGTATTTTTATTTTGTTTGTCTTTCCATTTAGTTGCAAGAAAATAAAGCACATGCAAAGATCATGTGATATTTGCCCCTTTGTGTTGACTCTTTTTCTTCCATTATTTCCTGTTGTCTGATATGATATTTTTGTTTAATGTTCATCTCTGTCGTTTTGGTTTTCTTGTTTTTTGCATATTTCTCAGTCTTAATCCTTTTGTCTGATTCCATCTTTTGGTGTCTTTTAGTTGTTTCGTATAATTTAACCATGGTTACTTTTAACCAAAGTGTTGTGATTTTATGTTTTCCCTTCTTTCTTTATTCAGCTTAAAAAACATTTGTGCCAATGCTTGTTAGGTGTAGTAATTGATTGATTGTTGACTATTAATCGTAACGCCAAGGATGCTGGTTGATGCATGCGTCTTTATGTATTTTAGTAGTAGAAGGAATGTTTTATTTGGGCTGGAATGTACAAATTAAGTGTAACAACGTGTTAGCTGATGATTTTCCAATTGCCAGATTGACATAAACACAATGGTGATCATGTCCCCAGAATATGTTATACTGAAGGATCGGCCTTCTGCAGCATCTCTGGTAATCTTCTCGTGCAATGGTGTCATCATCAAGGGTTATCCTCTAAATAATGAGGAAGGGCCATATTCATATGAATGGAGAGTTGAAGACATTGTTAATATCGAATACAATTGGTCCCAAAATGTAAGTTTTTAAGTTTATCATTTGTTAAGGACACGCTTTTGTTTCAAAAGGTATTTTCTGAACTCAGATTTTGCTATGGATATAGGATTCTGGTAGTTTTACAATTTCTTCTCATCTTTTTCATAGTTTGGGTTGGTCACTCTGAAAATCCAAGTTCTATGGAAGGATGAAGAATGCTGTGAGGATTTGCAGGACACTACAGGTCTGTTAATTGCTGTATACTTCCATTTGGATCATCACTTAATGTTTTGGGCTACAAATTATCTTGTTATGAGCATCAATAGTCAACTAATATCTCTGATATTTTAGGTTTCTTAAATTTCTGTTGCGAAGTGTTCTTTTACTTTAGGACATGTCATATGGCTACTCAGAAGAAAACTTGAATAATGTGAAAATAAGGGGTTATTTAAGTGGGGTTTACTGTATGTTGTTTCTCTCTTAAGACTGTTCTCTCCTTTGGTCGTGATTGCATCTCTTTTCACTAATTCCTTATCATTAACTGTAAGACATCTCTTAACATTAGTATCATTTTTTTTTTTTTTGCCAAGGGTTTGGGCGGGCTATAACTGCTCTTATTAGTTACTAAAATGTGAATTAAACTTGCTAGTTTTTATTGTACTCTTCCATTTTGCTTGGTTTGGTTGGGAGAGAGAAAAAGACACGAAAGTGTTTGAGGTGAATGGATAATGTAGTTGTAGTTAGATATTTTGAAATTTTTTTGTTTTGCATATATTTGATTTCTTGTTTAACATTTGTTGTTTTAAATGGAAACAAACTACTAATTCTGCATATCTCCTGAAGTGCTAGTGGCTCCAGTCTAATTTGCATGCGAAGAGATGCTTTATTTTTGTCCTTAATTATCGCTAGTTTCATACACGATTTATTTTATCTAATTTCTTTTCTTTCCGGTTCTCCAAAATTACAAATAACTGAGTAGTAAACTATTACATTGCAGAAACCGGAAAGCTTTCATTTCTCTCGAATAATACTCCTCTGAATGTGGAGCCTTTAAGCATTAAGATTTTCGAACTCAAGGCAATCCCTCTTCAATTCTTCTTATTGCTTCTTGTTTTTCAGACATTAAGGAGTTGAGACTTGGAGTTTCAGAGTGTGATTGGGTGGAGAAGCAACAAAAGATCAACTCATTGAATGTGAAATACCGGGCTATCTGGAACGCAGAGCCTAAGTAAGCTCCTATCCACCCTGGTTATAGGCTTCTGTATTTGGAAAATAGATTTTTATGCACACTTTCTTTTGCTTATTTGTTTGTTTGCTCCTACCACATCCCTGACCTATGGAAATTTGTCATCTACCACTATTTTGTCTATTTGCTGACAAACCTTGGACTTGGAGATGGGAAATCTGATCAGGAAATTCTAAAAGAAATCTTAATTGCTGAAGCCAAATACCTGACCAAATTTCTTGTTTCTCTGTTAGAATAACAAGTCTTTTAGCATTTTGTTGTTGTTGGTGTTGTTGTTGTCGGAGTTGGAGTTCAATATTTGCCTAACTAGAACTTCAAATTCTACATGAATCAAGGTTGGAAACTTGGAACAAGGATCTGAAGGTCAAGTCCAGAACATTTTGTTTCAAATGGTTCATGATTAACATCCAAAATTTATTATTCTGGGCTTAAAGCTCAAATGATGTATTTAGTAGGTCATACTATACAAGTACACATGTTTACATGTGGATAATACTTTTTTAACAATTCATGTATTTGACGCAAGTAATAAAGCAAAATTTTAAGTGTAAAGAAAATCAACTATGAAGACAAAAACAAACTTCAAAGGGCAATCCAAACTGAATCTTGAGAAAGCAACTGAAATTTCATTTGGTTTTTGGTAAATTGTATACTTTGATGCCAACTTGTTTTTTCCATCTGACTTGATTAACTGGTTCTTTCTCTTGTAGTTGCAGCATGGAAGTATCCGATGAAAATTTGTCACACAGGAGGCGTTATTTTCCAAGGTAAGGGAAAACAAGCCATATTTTCATCATTCCTTTTAATTGGTCTTTGAAGTTTTAAGCTATCTGGATTCTGATGTCTTCCGTTCTGTTTTTAGGGTAATCTTGCAAACTGTTTCTGTTCATAGTTTTATTCCAATTTCTGAAGTATAATTGAGCCTTTGTTTCCTGTAGCTGCATCTTAGGTAGAATTAGTTTACTTTGTGCGCTGAAAGGAATGAAAGACCTATTAATGAGATTCAGGGTAAAAAGTTGACCAATATGACCAAATTTTTTGTCTTGTTGGTTTGAGTTCTTTGAATATTGTAATGCAAATAAGGGCATATCGAAACTACTGATGCACCTGTATACAAGATATATGCTTTTTCTCAAGCTTTTCAAGATACATCTAGTACATTCTTGCATGCAAGCTGTTGTAACCCTAAATCTAATCTAATTCTTTCCCCTAGTTGTTACAACTGGTGAACTAACGTCTAATCATTCCAGAACTAGAGGCATTTTTGAATACTTGCACTTTGTTCTTAATATCCTTTTGGTTCGCATTACTATGGTAAATAGTTTTACTTGAAAATTGTCAGGCACAGGGAGCTGACGTTTCTAATATTAATTGCTAGCCTTATGCATGTTTTTGCAGTTTTGATGAAACTTTTGAGGATGTCGTCTACCCGAAGGGAGATCCAGATGCTGTTTCCATTTGCAAAAGAGATGTGGATCTCTTGCAGCCGGAGACATTTGTCAATGATACAATCATAGACTTTTATATTAAGTGAGTTCTGTTCTATTCAACTCGATGCCTCTGATGATATGTACTATACTGTTTCTGTTTGGATGTCGTATTAACTATGACATGCATTATATTGACTATTGTAAACTTTTGTAACGCTACGTTTATTGTGTATCAATAGTAGAAAGGGAACTTGGTAATGGTGTTGATAGATCATACCTGCTTTTACTGCATACTTTTCAATTAAATTTTTCTCTACATGTCTAATTGATTTACAGGTACTTGAAGAATCAGATTCAGTGTGAGGAAATGCATAGATTCCATTTCTTTAACAGCTTTTTCTTTCGGAAGCTAGCTGATCTTGATAAAGATCCATCAAGTATAGCTGATGGGAAGGCTGCTTTTCAACGTGTCCGTAAGTGGACAAGGAAGGTGGACATATTTGGGAAGGATTTCATCTTTATTCCTGTAAACTTTAAGTACGAACAACTCCATGTTATTGTTGTTTAGCTATATATATATATATATATATATATTTTAATGTTTTGGGATCTGATATTGCTAAATGCTAACAACAGTCTTCACTGGAGTTTAATAGTCATCTGTCACCCAAGTGAAGTGGCTGATTATACAGGTATGTAGAATATTACCATATATAGAATCATCTCTTGACCATCCGATTTATTATATAATATTCTATTGTATTATTTGCAGATCTAGACTTGGATAACTCCGCAAAAGTACCGTGCATATTACATATGGATTCTATAAGAGGAAGTCATGCAGGGCTTAAGAATCTTGTCCAAAGGTATAGTAGCTCCCCCTAAAGCCATGTTCTGTTGTCTTCTTATCTTTCTTTTGATTTTGAAAGTAATATGTATTAGATGTAGATAAGCATTCACATGATACTGTACTCTTACTTGAGCAGCAAAAGAATATATGGTGAATTTGGTTCCATATACTGTATTTTTTCTTTTATGCAAACTACTTTTCATGTACTAGTTCAAAACCCCATCATGTGCTATCTGTTGACTATAAATTTTTGGCTACTTTTAGTTACTTGTGCGAGGAGTGGAAGGAGAGGCATAAGGAGACATCGGATGAAATTTCTTCAAAGTTCTTGAATTTGCGGTTTGTCTCACTTGAGGTGTTGCCTCTAAGCTTTAAATCTTTTGCTTTTGCCTGGCCTAGTAGGAAATATGAAAAGTCCTTCATATATTATGCTTTTGTGGTATGAATTTCATCTCACAGCACATTACATGCAATCTAGTATTTTTGCTGATCTGTGGCATATTTGAGAATTTCCCAGGTCATACTCTTCCTTGTTTTAATTGTCAGATTTGAAATGGTAGAAACGAGTCTTCTCATAACACCATGTTCTCTTGTTCGTCACACATCACCGTTAATGTAGACTGGAAATCTTTGTTCAAAAACACATTTAATGCACTTCCGTGTAATTTCTTTCTTTGTTTTAGAAAAATAAGTGTTGATTTCTTTTTTCCTGATAGATTAATTTAACACAATTTTGCTCTTATTCCATGTGCTTTACATTTAAGACAGCACTCTTAAGAATGTTTCTTTAATAACCACAATTACCTTGTAGATGTGATTAGATTATATGAATATGATTTGAGACTCGCTTAAAAAAATTTAATCGGTCTATGGCATTACTGGCTAGCTATGTCACGGTTGGCATTTGATCCGTGTTTGGTGTTTGTATGCTGTTTGCCTCGTATCCTTTTGTAATGTAATGCATTAGTTTATCGTTTCATGTAAAAAATCTCTTACTCGTCTTTTTTTATGTTTAATGATTATCTATGTGATGTGATGTCAGATTTTTGTTGTTTTTTTTCTTTCAGTTGCCACAGCAGGAAAACTCATTTGATTGTGGCCTCTTTTTGCTGCACTATCTGGAGCTTTTTCTTGCTGAAGCTCCACGTGATTTTAATCCTTTCAGAATATCGAGGGCTTCCAACTTTGTAAGTCTCTGTTTTATTATTTGCAACCATTAGTTTGTTGAAATCTGAAAGTTCTAGGACTCTCAGGATAATTTTTTGTTCTTTATCTTGAAATGTAGTCTTGAGTTTATGTCATATTTTTTTTGCCGGTTTCTAACTTTGACATCAGTCGACCTTGTATCTTTGCCAAACCTAATCATTCTCTCCACAATCATTATGCATTCATGAATGATTAGTTTTCTATCCTTCGTTATCCCTGCCTTTACTTTTGGCCACAATTGTGTTATCTGGTTTCTCTTACTGTCAAATCTTTCTCCCTGTTCCTTTCGAAACTGAACCTGAAAGAATATTTTCTTCTTTAAAAAATTCTGTTGGTTGGTGTTTCACTTTTGCTTAGCCATTGCCCTATCAGTTTGTCAATTAGCTCTACGTTCAAACTCGGGAATGAATTTCATGTGTTCTTTTTTTTTTATACCAGCTTTTCTCTGTGATTATCATCAGTTTGTTTTCAAGTAATGGCTATATTCTTTCTGCTGATCATAACTCTCTGTTTTGTGCAGCTTTATCTGAATTGGTTTCCTCCAGCCGAGGCTTCACTGAAGCGAACTCTGATTCAGAAGTTAATTTTTAAACTCCTCGAAAACCGTTCTCAGGAAGTCGGTAACGAGCAGAACCAGTCCTCTGAAAGTCCAGTGGATGACGAGAACAATATGGGCATTGAGGTTTTTCCGGGGAATATGACTCAGTCCCAAGACAGTCAAGGGATCGAGATGACTTTACTCGACAGATCTTCAATGAGGAACTGTAATGAATCCGGCATCGTCCTGAAGGAATTGTTCGACTCAGGAGCCGCAGCGGGATCATTACTTGGACATCTACAATCGTTTGAGGAACCATCTTCGTTTTATCACATTAGTAATGCAACATTGCCAAGAGAGGTAACCAGATTTCGGAAGAAGAAACTCGGGTTTCCGGTGATGATAAAATCTCTTGGTTTTGACATCTAAATTTCTCATTTGTTTCTTTCGTCTTTCTTTTTTCAGCAGCAAGTGGACTTGGAAACCGGAGAGCAGTTCATGTGTATAAACCCTGGGGAAAGTAGTTTTCAGCCCTTCGCCGAGACTACAACTCCCAGAGGTTCTTTCTCGTTTACCGAGACATCCTGGAACCTTGGGATTTCAGTGCAGAGAGAAGAAGAAGGTGACGATGATTCATCTGAAACATTGACTGACGACGATTCAGACAATGTGAATATCATTGAAGACATTACGTTGGGAAATATCGGCAATGATCACCAGAATGAAACAGCGAGAGAGACAAGCTCTCTGTCCGCACAGCCGGAGATATTTTCAGAAGCTTTGGGTTCCAACACTGATGACCATTCCGTGGAGAACGAAGAATCGTTTTCGCCGCCACACGACGAACCTCTGGTTGTGGTTCCATCAAGTCAAGATGACATAGAAGAAGATGAAACTTTGAAGGGGCACAACTTTGAAATGGTGGAGAAAACGAGTGAAGATACTGATGGGGACGATTCACACGACGAAGAGCAACCTGCAAAGAGGCCACGATGGCTCGCACCTCCGAATGAGAATGGCAGCGGCACGAGGAATTTGTCGATGGATCTCGGATCGTGAAAAGTATAAAAGATCAAGTCTTGACAGTTTGTGCTCGAAGCTGTAAGTACGGTGTTGCGTGTGTATTTTGGATAGAACATAGACGGCGAGTAGATTATGACGTAGAAGAATGAAAATGTTTTTATTTAAAGTTCGATTACAGTAATAAAAAAAAAGCACCAACAATGTGATCCACTTTGGGAGGGGACAAAATTTTTTGGGGTTGTGACTCGTGAGTGAGCAAACTGAAACCGTTGTCTTTGCGAAAGAACATAAAAAGGTCAAATCAGACTAAAAGTGACGACAAGAGTCCAACGATTTCAAGTAGGTAAGAAAACGTTTTTAACTATAAATGAGAGTCTAGACTCGAACATGGGAAAATTTTCCGCGCATTCCCAACTGTCCTTCAGAGCGTATGGATGGGTACGAGTTAGTTATCCGAGTTTTCGGGAGTACTCGTCGTCGGTTTCACCCTCTCGAATGTTACGGTCTCTTCTTTGTAAGGATTGGAAGGCAAGGGATCAGATATCTAGCAGACACTCGCATCAGATGAGAAGGGGAAGGCCAATGAGCGGCGTGGGGAGAGAGGGTGAGAATCGAGGCGAGAGTGCGAGACATGTATCTAATCCGAGGAATGTTTGATGGGACGAGATGAGGTGAGGGCGAAATCAATTCTCTCGTCTTGAATACCTCTTATGCCTCTCGCCTCCTCGGTGCCAACTCGTCCTTGCTCCACCTCTTCGTCTCTCGCTGACGAGTCCTCTCTCTCCCCTCTCCCTGGATTACTCACAGGTTCAGATTTTCATCAGACGGAACCCGTACTCAAACCCGCAGGTGGGGTTCTTGTAACCTGATATCTTGAACTATACTTGCTATTGAATGTGTGGTAACGTTACAAGCACTGCACTATAATATAATAGCAAGTAATTGTGGCCGTAAGAATTATTGCAGATTGATCTCTACAATCCTATTTCTGTAAAAACTCTACAGAAGTAACACTTTGTCCGTATAATTTCTATAAACACTTAGTCCTCCATTTCTTTTTTTTGTTTTTTTTTTTGAGGAAAAAGAAAAACAGAGTTAGCGCTCTCACTCACGCCCTTCCTGTTTCTTTAAACATTCAAAATGAGTTTCGTCAATTTCAGATTTCAGTATAAAATGACTTCAACCTCTATTCCTCCCGGGAAGAGACATTGCCTTTCCTCCTCAATCGGGACGATGTTATTTTCACCATCTCTGCTCCTCTTCCCGAGCTTTGCTTAGATACCGTACTTTTTGCGGCTCTCCCTGCTTCCTTTTTCCTTCTCTTCTGTTTTCGAGTCGGAACTTGGAGATACTTTCAGCTTATCCTTCTTGGATTTTGATTGTCTCCTGTTTCCGATGCTGCACCTTGTTCTCCCTCTGATTCCATTTCTACGCTTCTTTTAATCGACTTGGATTTGTTGTCGCCGCTGTTGATTTTGTAGGACGGCTCGACCAGCATGAGTCGACGGTTAGCAGCCGATGATGATGCTTGAGTGAAAACAATGTCAGAAAAAGCTGATTTGTCCACCTCGGTCTCGTTACGCATCCTCTGAACCGTGCGGATGGGAGTTGCGAGATGTGCCCCGTGATGCCTTATAACTCTCAGTAGATCCAAGAGCACTGCTTCCTGCTCAAAAACACATTTTATCATATAATCAAAGTTAAACCGAATTTGTCTAGGGGGTGGGCTTCCGTTCGTTTATGCATAAACCAAACCGATCTGAAATCATGATCGAATCGAATCCGATACAATAACAAAATGGATGCGATTTTTCTAGGGAAAAAAAAGAAAATTTCTTTGAAAATGAACATTTTTATCATTAAAAGCAGCATCCAAGCCGAACTGAATATAATATAAAAACCGAACGGGAATAGTTTTTTTCAAAATATCGAAATGCCCACACCTAAATTTGACAAGCCCTACAAAAGAGAAAACAATGGTTATTTGTAGATAATTTGGTAACGGACGGACGAACTCGACTATGCCATACCTTAACACATAGGTATTCTTCGAAGCGCGAAGTCTTGACAAAGCAGGAGATTAGGATCTGCAATAGCAATATATACACAGATATGAACACTTGTATATCATATGCTCGTGTACTTACAATATACCATTCTGTTAGCGACAAACTTTTTCGTACCTTAAGGGCCTGGTTCTCTGGATCTATATCTTCCAAAAAGACTCTTCTGTGTATTTTTTGCTGCTCGACTTGAGGATTTTTTGCCAAAACCTTGCGCATATCCGCCACAATATTCTGTACATCCGAAAGCGTGCATGGATTTGTTACACATCGTTGGAGTTTTCAGGGTGCAAAAAATGCGAGAAAATTGACAAAAAGAAAAGATTGACCCTCACGTTAATCTTGCCGATATCGAGATGACTGATGCAGAGATGTGTTTTTATGCGCCAATGAGTCTTCTGGCTAAGGTTCCTCACAATGCTAACTGTGAACTTGTGGTTTGGAATATGGACTGCTTCACGGTCATCGCCTCTGATCACTGTGGGTGACCACCAACCAACATGCTGAACAGAAGCAAGATCAATCCTTATTAAGGAACAAATTTCGTAGCAAAAGTGCACTAAGTTGAAAGAGATAGACTGAAGAAAAACGAACCTCTACTGTACCAGAAACTTCATAGCCTTCGATCCTAATTTGAACCCAATCGTTCAGAACAAAGGGCCGGGTTGCATGGATCATAATACTTGAAAGAAAGTTCGTAAGTATCTGTGTCACATCAAATGTCAAAACATGGAGCTACTAATAGTTGTTCCTCCTCCCAGTAAAAAGGCACATTAAAAAGTGTACTAAGCCCAAGGTGTTGCAAGAAAAGTGGATTTAGCTTTTACCTCACGACCAGCTAGTGTAAGCAGAACTGTCCCGAGTCCTCCGGCCGTTAACCATTTCTGGGTAGAGAAACCCAACAGCTCCATAAATAATGATACGGCAGCAACCCATACAGCAGTGTAGACGGCTTTTCCAGCAAAATTGAAACCCATCTGCCGTAAAATTAAACATAAATTTTAGAAGCAGGATCCATTCATGGCACTTTACAAGACACCCTCCTTTAAAGTCATATTCGAATGACCGACTATGAAAATAGGGTGCGTCGAAGAAACATAACATAGTGGTCATGGAAACTGATGGCTCTAATGCATTCTGCGTGAAACACCATGGGCAATTACCAATTTTTCGTAAGAGGAAAAACTGAATAGAGCATAGGGGACTATTTCACTAGTCAAACTTGAAGCAAGTAGAAGTCAGATCATTTGAAGTTGTTTTGTATCATGACTTCACGACGGAAATAAAGCAAGCCAAAAGGATTAATATAAGAACAAGAGTGTCAAGCATAGAGAGACATACATTCCTAGCATCACTGGAATTATTTGTCTCTGTAAAGAATTTCTGTGCCTGTTGAATCAAGCTGCAGATAATATATAATACATCGATCAAGCCGCGGATTGCATCAGAAAATGCTTAAAAGCAAAAAAATCACCTGGAACTGAGTAAAGCAGGACTCTGACAGATATACGATATACGAATAAATATTCAAAATTGACTATAAAATGAGCAAACGGCAAAAATAGTCAAATTAACACCACAATGACGGAGGTGCAGAGAGAATTCAGAGAAGCTAGCTACAATGAATTTAAAAAGGGAAACTCAAAGAAGGAACAAAACGGCACATTCTTTCTCACGACCAACTGGCTGAAAAAACCTCTGGGAGGTCATAGGCTATTTGGAAGATGTATTTACTTAACTAAGCATAGGCATCAGACATCAGTTAATTATCACTCAAAATTGCATGGAAAGCAGAATAACAGTAAAAGCTCATAATATTATAACCTAACTAGTCCAAGATCAATTCCATCCTTTAAAATTCAGATAAATAGATAGTACTGTTCTTACTGTCTCAAAATACCAACTCCTGGCTCACCTTGACAAACAACAGGCCAATGCCAGCATTGTTGATAAGGATCGGGAAAAGTTCAGAAGGCGTTGCTTAACCGCCTGACTGGCACTCGAAGGCAACATTATCGGGTCCAATGTTCTGAAAGGCAACTCCAATATGGTTATGGTGAAAAATACGTAATGGTTACTAGGCCAAACGGACTAAACAGATTGATGGGAGAGGTTCACCTGCATAAAAGAATTGCACCACTCCAGAGCAACAAAGGTTGAAGATAAGATACCACAACTTGTTGTGTACTGCTCTTGTTTGATTTGGCTTCAGTTCCCTTTTAATATTTGAATTATGAAAACAAAAAACTATAATAAGTCGTTAGGAGACCATGGATAAAGGAAAATCATATAGAATGGCAGACCACCTTGAAAAGGGTAACCAAGCTAAGACGCAAGACTGGTCTAAGACCCCATATAGCAAATGCCAGAATCCCAACCGCTGGGATCACTTTGAGCAAATGAGGATTTCCACGTAAAGCATCATAAGCCCTGAAATTCATGAAATTTCTGGAGAACATTAAATGGCTTCACACTCGAACGACAACTAACTGCAGCGTGAATCACATCACACATAGTATGTCAACTAAGCACCCTCACGTAAGAGTACAAGTGAATAAAAGTTCAAGAAATAACCTAGTAAAAACCATTGCAGTTGATTTAAGAACAGGAGCCTCATTTCCTCCTGAGAATAAAACCGATCGACAAACAAAATTATTACACCTAGATGATACAGGTGCTATTGAACGACTTAAGCTCTCCAGAAGGTGGAAACTCCATAAATCTTGTCTCTAAATCAACAAAAAGAAAAAGAAAAGAAAGAAAGATGGTCATGCCCACATGAAGATTGTAAGAGTAAATAGCTTCACATTAATCATGGAAATATGTATACGCTAGAAGGGGAAAAAAGCAAAAAGGCAGCGAAGATTGATAGGCCAAAAACTGACGCATGAAATTATATGCCAATAATACTAGAGTACCACAAACATTATCTGACACAAGAATCCTGAAGTTAAGAAATATCCCACTGAGATATAGAAACTGAAACCTCTGAGTGAAAAATCGAGGATGAAGCATTAAGAGATGCATGAGGGAGCAAACTATACAATAGACTAAAATCTGAACTGTGAGATGTCTGAGCACAGATGATACCATGGCGCATGGAGAGAGACTTGTGTGATCCAGACATACTCGACTTTTACCAACTGAACTCTGCAGGGGAAAATAATGCCAAACACCCAGCAAATCAATACATTTGCAGTGATTAAAACTCAGGAAAAGGGATGAAATCAAAGCAAGAGCATGAGATCCCATACGTTATGGTATCCAGAAGATCCATGGAGCTTATGAACCTTCAGATCATAAGGCAATGGTAGAGAGACAGCATGCATCATCATCCAAAATGAAAATCACACTGCTGCTGCATCCAACCAAATAATCATATCTCCTGCACAAAATAGTTTACACACAACAAAAGCATAGAAGCAAAATCAGCTTCCTAAATCAAAATATATAAAATAGTAACAAACATTTCTATAACCCACTCATGGAACTACTAAAAATCCAGCTACTGTATGCATAAAGTACAAAGCTGATCATAATGTAGACCGTTAAAATAATCGTAAAATTCAAAATTACTTCAGTGAACATGAACTGGAAATGCGCATAATACAGCATAGATCAAGTCGATTTCCGTCCGAACAGACAGAGAGAGATCAAGAACAAGGACTACCGCCAAACGAAACCGGATTCTTATAATTCCTCACAGTCCTACTTTTTAGAAAATCATCCAGGAATCACCGAAAAGTTTCATGTAAACTTAATCGGACTCAATTCCATACCTGAGAAGCCCAGAGAATCAGGAGACAAACGGCGAAAAGCAGCTCAGGAGATCGAATTGAACGCAAAAAATGTGGATCAGCGAAATCGTGAGCTTCCTGATACATTCTTCGGAAGACGACACATGCCTCTAGCTAACGTGCGCCAAGTTGTGATCTCTCTCTCTCTCTCTCTCGATCAAACGACGAAGCACGCATGCGAGCTGTTGGATATATTCGGCTTTTGATTTTATATGTTGCGACTCGACTCTGTACTGAACCGAAACCAATGAAACGGGAGAAGACTGAACACTTGGAAGTTAGAACTAACCAGCAAACCGGTTAGTTGGAATTGACCCGAACCAAGAATTATTAATGATTAAAATTAAATTGAACCAAACCGAACCGAATTGGAGTAATTTAAACCCGAAATGCTCTGAACCCAACGAGACGGGAGAAAGACTGAACATATACAACATCTAAAACAATAACAAATTTGAAAGTGCAAATATGGACATAAAATAAAATTAAAAACATGTGATTCGATCTTATCTCCTCGGACCAAACACAATGAGTTTTTACTTATTTATATAAATTACGCATCGTGGTTGTTAGAGCATATATGTGTGTGTGTATATATATATATGAAACGACAACTCACACTTTCACAAATCCATTGTGTTGCCCTCGAATATTTTTTTATCAAGTTCTACAATGTATATTTTTCCTCCATACGAATCTCCCATTCGTTGTCATTTAGTAGATGGTATTGTCTCCTCTTTATCAACGTAAATATAAAAATTGGCTTTAATTTAATTTAAACCCGTAGCTCTATCATTTATTCTATATTGTTCTGTCTACATATATATTATATATACAAATTGAAATATTTTTTGGTTAATATAATTCATATATCATAAATCCCCCGGAGGAAAATGGTCATGCAAATAAAGCTAATAATGAAACATAAAAACTTTTATTTAAATGTTTTTATATAAAAAAAATATTGAAAAAAGAAAAAAACAATCTAAATATTGCCCAAAAACGGTCCTAGAATTGAGGTTTATCAAAGGATTCACCACAATACCCGGACATGTCAGAAATTTTCGCACTTTTTTTTTTTACCTCATTCTTGCAAGATCTGTGGAACTCAATGTTGGCAAAATCACGCGACAAGCATCATTCGTCGCTGATGGATCGGCCATGTCCGAAGCCTCTCCTCCTCCTCCTTCTTCATTAGGACAGAGACAATGTTGCAGAGAGCTGCGAGCAATGCATACTCATGGTGGTGGGCGAGCCACATCCGTACTAAGCAATCCAAATGGCTCGAACACAATCTCCAGGGTACCTTTCCATCGAATCCGTTCTCGTTCATGATTCCTTCCATGCTCAATTCAAAGAAACAGATCCAAAACAATGATTTTTTTTTTTTTGTTGGAATCTGACATGAGTAATTTGTGTAAACATCTTCCTGGTCCTTATAGATATGGAGGAGAAGGTAGATTACACTCTGAGGATCATAGATCACGATGGAGACACATTCGCCAAAAGGGCAGAGATGTATTACCGGAAGAGGCCGGAGATCGTTAATTTCGTCGAGGAATCGTTCCGATCATACCGTGCTTTAGCTGAACGGTACGATCATCTATCCAGAGAGCTCCAAAGCGCAAACCGAACGATCGCCACTGCTTTCCCCGAACACATACATTTCTCGTTGGATGATGATGATGAAGAAGACGAAGACAAACAGCCTAAGCATCTTCATCTCATCCCCAAGAATGGTGGAAGCAACATACCCCAAGTCCCGGAGATTCCCAAGAAAGATTTTAGGGGGCATCCTTTGTTGTTGTCGAGAAAGGGACCACAGTGTGGTCTGAAGAGAATAATGCCGTCTTCTGCCGCTGTTGCGACCTCGGGTTTGACGAGAGAAGAGGCTTTGGACGAGATCGATAAGGTTCAGAAAGGGATCTTGGCATTGCAGACCGAGAAGGAATTTGTGAGGAGCTCTTATGAGAATTCTTACGACAGGTATTGGCAGTTGGAAGATGAGATCACCGAAATGCAGAAAAGGGTTTGCGTTTTGCAAGACGAATTCGGTGTCGGTGCTGAGATCGATGATAGCGAAGCGAGGGCCTTAATGGCGACCACAGCTCTGAATACATGTAAGGAAACGATATCGAAACTGGAGGAGAAACAGAAGCAATCTTTGGAAGAGGCGGAGATTGAGAAAGAAAGAATCGCTGCAGCAAAAGAGAGGTTTGAAGCGCTGAGGAGGAAATTCAACAAACCAGAAGGGCTCGGGTTTGAAACAGAAGAAGTCGAGGATGTCTTGTTAGGTCAAGAACTGGGAACTGAATCTGTAAGAGAAATGAAAAAGGTGGACCCGAGCGAGAATCTTACCGTCGTGCAGCTCGTGGAAAAGATCGACGAGCTCGTGGAAAGGGTGGTTTCATTGGAAACCACTGCTTCATCCAACACAGCATTGGTGAAGACATTAAGATCTGAAACAGATGAGTTGCATGAACATATCCGAGGTCTTGAGGAAGACAAAGCAGCTCTCGTTTCGGATTCAGCAGAAACGAAGAAAAGGATAACATCGCTCGAGGAAGAGCTGAGTAATGTCAAGAGCCTCTTCCAGAGAGTGGAAGAACAGAACAAGACTCTCCAAAAACACTTCAAAGAAGCAAACATCACAGTTGAAGACTTATCTGACAAAGTACAAGGTGTGAAGATGGACGAGGGCGTCGAAGGAACAGAACTTTCGGATTCGATCGCAAAAGAGACGGAGAAATCGGAGGAAGGGAAAGATGATCAAAAGGCTGAAGCTGCGAGGGGGAGACCTCGAGAATCGACGCAACAGCATGATAAACCAGAGACGAAAGATTCGTGTGCTATGTCAGAAACAGCCAGCACTTGTTTCGGGACAGAACAGGAAGATCTGGTGACAGAAGATGAAGATCTCGAGACACCGAACTGGAGGCAGTTGCTACCAGACGGGATGGAGGATAGAGAGAAGGTTATATTGGACGAATACACATCGGTACTAAGAGATTACAGAGAGGTGAAGAGAAAGCTAAGCGATGTGGAAAAGAAGAACCGTGATGGATTCTTCGAACTAGCATTGCAGATAAGAGAATTGAAGAATGCTCTTGCTTACAAAGATGTGGAGATCCAATCGCTGCACCAGAAATTTGTCACACCCGACAAGGATTCATCTCCTCGTCCAGTAGAAGGAAACCATTCGGATCTCGAGGGACCGTGTGAGAGCATGAACATTTCCCCGATCTCGAGTTTCTCGGCTTTCACGACGCCGCATCAGCAAGGAGGGGACTTTAACAAAAAGACACCTGCAAGAACAAGGCAAGGCGAGATCAGGGTGAAGTTCGCCGATACCGACGACAGCCCAAGAACAAAAATTCCAACCGTGGAAGAAAAGGTTCGTTCAGACATCGATACGATATTAGAGGAGAACCTCGAGTTCTGGCTAAGGTTCAGCACTTCTGTCCATCAGCTACAGAAGTATCAGACAACGGTTCAAGACCTGAAATCGGAGCTATCGAAACTGAAAATCGAGAGCAGGAAACAACAGGATTCTTCTACCAACCCGGGAAACAGTAGCCATTCGCATGCATCGGAGACAAGGCCTATATACAGACACCTACGAGAGATTCGAACAGAACTACAGTTATGGCTCGAGAATAGTGCTGTTCTAAGAGATGAACTTCAGGGAAGATATGCATCGTTGTGTAATATCCAAGATGAAATCTCTCGGGTCACGTCTTCGGGCAGCGGAAAAGCAAGCGATGCCGAAATCAGCGGCTATCAGGCTGCAAAGTTTCACGGTGAGATACTTAACATGAAACAGGAGAACAGAAAGGTCTCGAGTGAAATGCAAACGGGTCTTGACCGTGTGAAAACGCTGAAAAACGACGTAGAGAGAGTTCTGAGCACAATGGAAGAGGACCTCGGGTTTTCAAGGGCCAACGATACTCGGATGCAGAACAAGAGCTCTTCAACAGGACGACCCAGGATTCCGCTGAGGTCGTTCTTGTTCGGCGTCAAGTTGAAAAAGCACAAACAGCAGAAGCAGTCGGCCTCCGCCTCGCTCTTCTCTTGCGTCAGTCCATCTCCAGCTCTGCACAAACAGAACAGTTATGTTAATCCTCAAAATCTCCCAGAATAATCAACCATGTTTTTTTTCCTCATGCTCTGTTTTACTATCTTCTTTGCTCCCTAGGCTTGTCCCTGTATGAAGATGCTTCACTTACCTATGGCATTGAACTCTTTCAGACATAATCCACTTGTTTGTTCCTGTTATATATATATTCCTAGTTTGTATTCTGCTCACAAACAACGGAAAAAGAAAGCAAGTTGACGATAAAAACCCATCATATTTTTCAGCGTAAGAAGTTTATATATAAAGACTTACTAGCACCAGATCTCTAAAGGATCTTACTTTACATCATACTTCTTCCAAGTTCTAAAAACAATACAAAGAAAACCCCAAAATCGAGTATCAAGATGCCTTTGGACCTTACATCCCGTTTCCGCTCTTTGCCACGGTCACAACCTCTGGTCCTTTGCTACCATTGTTTAACTTGCTCAATCCGTCATCCTTGTTATTTACTTCATCTTTAGCTTTAGATTTGCCGTCAGCTCCATTGACGGGCAAGACATTGGTTCTACTCGCAGCTCCATTGACAGGTGAGACAGTAGTAGCTTTATTCTCAGCCCTGTTGACAGGTGAAACGGTAGTTTTACTCTCAACTACCATGCTCTTTGGTAAAACATCGAGGCTCTTTGATACTGCCACTTGCATTTCCGCATTGCTCTCCGAATTTGTTGAGGTCGTTTTCGTTTGCTGACTCACAACCGTGGTACTCGCTCCATTTTTCGGAGTTTGCTCTTTCTGTACACATTCTGGCTTGCGAGGGCCAGTCTGTGCGACCTTCCCGACATTCGGCATTGATGGTACCGGAGGAGCAGCGGGTACAGAGGCTGCAGAAACTCGCTTTTCAGATACTGTCTTTGGAACAAAAGCAGAAGCGGTGGAAGCATGATGCATTGTCCTCACGACAGGTCCTTCTGAGCGAGGATTTATAACAGCAGACTTTGTAAAATGTGACGAAGCAGCCGCCACATGGTTCATGTTGCCATTGGCTACATGCCTCGTATTTGGAGGTGCAACAGCTTGAGCTTTAGCAGTAGCAGTGGAGGTGGTGGCAGGAGTAACGCTCTTTCCTGGCTCAGTCTTTGGCACAGACAGGCCACCTGAGGGCCGAGGCATACAGGTCGCAGAAATGGGTTTCCCAGGTTCAGCCTTTGATACTACTTCAGCAGCATTCTTTTCTGGTTCAGCCTGCACGGATGCAGTAGTTGATGGCCCAGCCATGCAGGCAGCAGCAGCTACAGAATTAGCTGTTACCATGAGATCCGTTCTTGAAGTAGAGTTGGGTGCTTTCTTTACAGCTGCAACTCGGTATTTCACGGCTGGAACTGAAGCTGCTGTTCGGGGCAGCGCTTGAACAACATTGGGTTGGGGCTGGGCTTGTGAAGAACTTGTCCCGACTGCTGGCACTTCTGCAGTACTACCAGAAGGAGCCATCGGAGAAACACCTGTACAAGAGGCAATCCAATTGACATTGAGAAGAAAAAAAAAAGCAGCAGGCATTAAACCAGTTAAACGATAGAGCAAGCCTACCAACTGAAAACCTAGGCCACGACATATCATGGTGCTAGCAAATCAGAAGCCCTTCATTATAACAAAAATCTGAATTAGCAAGTGACAAGGAACTTCTGCAACGACTTGTACCTACTGTAAGCTTTTTTGCAGGTGCTCGATTTCCCACCGCCAAAGACAATGCATGATTAGCAGCCATCTGAGCTTCCGTTCGTTGTAGACCAGATTGGTTAGGAGCCGAATTTGATGTATCACACCTTTTCCTTATTAGGGCCCACCTCTGCAAATCAAGAAGTTAGTTTATTACCACTTGTACGGGAAAAGGATTAAGCTCATGACACATAAATACCATCAGATGCTCTTCCAGTGTCCGTGGAATACTTTATCCTTTACATGACTTACAAAGTATACCTGGACAATCAGAACTAATCCGATGGATAAAACATCCGCGAAAACGTGAACATGGAAGCATATTGCTGTTAACATGCTGCTCTATATACTTGCCAAAGAATTATTCACCAAATCATCCAGAGGATCCGTTGCCGGGATTTGAACCCGGGAAAAATGGGGGAACCCACATCCAAACCGGACTAGATGACAACGGATATCTTCCTAGAGCAATGACCATAGTTTTGTTGCTACTCTAAATGAGCTATAATGATATACAACTTTATATTTACATACAATTCCAACCAAACACCAGTGTCTCTAACAAAAACAGGGAAGGTATGCATGATATGCAAAGAATACCAACTGTTTTGATCTCTGCATCTGCGTCAAGCGTAAAATATTGCTTGAGGTCCTTAGAGTCTAGGATAACTCAGACTCATAGTGTATGATACCCTTTCTGTCTTCTAAATTATCATTCCTTCCACAGAATAATTCATATAACGATGATACAAGTAACGAAAGGATGCCAGCACCTTACACAATGACTTCCTCTACAACCCATGCAGTCCTAATAACCTCTGAATATGATCAAGAAACCATCCCATATAATTCAACTAATTGTTAGAAAAGTAGCAAGGGCCTATAAAGAGGACAGGAAAAAAATTCAAATTACTCATTAGCATACACGACGAATTTCTCAGTAGGTTTTTCTTCATAACATGCTCTACATCAATCTTAGACGGCCAACTCATCTTTAGCTTTCAAAGTGCTCAAAGACACGATTCATTCAGAACTTATACTCAAATTAAATTTACTTCACCATGTGACTAAAGAATACACTTATTCGGTCATGCATGCTAATATGAGCAGGTTGCACTAAAAGCATGAAGATCACTCATGTATAGAGGAAAAGAGGAAGTATGAAGATCATCAACATTCAACAATCGAAAATACAACCTGCGAGAGCTGTGAGGCAGTTCTCTCCCCTTTGAACTCTCCCCTCAGAATATGAGCCCAGTTGCCTTCACCACATCGCTTCACAGCAGCAATCAGCTCTGCATCCTCACCAGGCGACCACTTTTTCCTTTTCTTTCGAGACGCCACACTACCACTTGCTGACCCATTTCCATTCAGTCCCTCAGTAGATGGAGCTTTCTGAAGAGAAACAGGAAAGGTGATATTTATTCCTCTTGATGACCAAGGCGACTCTGATGGTTCTTGAGAACTCTTAACATTAGGTATGTTTATGGTCAAGGGAGCCTCAACTGTTGAGTTGTCAGGAATATTGGATTCAGCTGGCATGTAGGACGCAGCCATCACCTGGTAAAACAGGGAATGGAAGGAAAAAAATAAAATGGTATCTAAATCTAAAAAACGCATAGCAGAAAGAACATATCTGGCATTGCAGAAAGAACATATCTGACATCCAAATTGCAGTCTACCTAAGAAGATAGAACGGTAATATGCAAGCCAGAAAACAACATCCTAAGCATAGTCCAGAGACTTCAGAGTATTACACCCAGAAAAATATAACATTCCCGCAAGACATGATGCAAGAAAAATTAACCATATAAGTAGAAGAAACTCATATGTTCTTTGCCAATTTGGCATCACAAAAAGATAGTGAACCATCTCTAAGAAGACTGGACTAGAACACGGGACAAAAAGAAGAATAATACTGGAAATTTATCATCTGCTCCCTTCTTACCTTTACGTGTGCATTAGCTTCCATGGATGCTTCATTACTAACATGAGGGGAGGCTTCCAACTCACAATCCAAGTCACTATCGTCATCCTGCACAACCAAGAGTTATTGGAATAAAATGTAACCATATCTTGCAATGCACAGTCAGCGGATGGATCAAACAGGGTTCATTCCATGTGTCAAAAGGCAACAGTTCTTGATAGCAAGCCATTTCATTAATCACGAAAAAATTGAATAGCATGCATCAATACGAGACATCGCCTTTCATCAAATTCAAACTCCTACACAACAAAGAAATCTCAAAATGCACGCACTTCTCATGCTTTCATGTTCTTAATAGAAAAACTAACGATGCAACATAAATTAGAGTACTTTGTGAATAACAACTAGCATACATCATATACAGTTAAATCATCAGATGAGTTCCTTGAACATAGATATTTATCTTCCACCCATATAGCCACACAAAACCCCGCATCCCAAAAACGGCACAAACAGTAACACCAAAACGAGTAAATTATTGTCTATCTTTTATAGCGGAGCGGAAGTGGTATCGGGTTGAAGATCTAAGTTATAGATCACAATATATAGAGAGGGACATGAAACGGACCAGAGGTTGAGCATCATCTTCCACAGGGGTCAAAGAATCCCTGTAAGCAAGATGCCGCCATAGCATTTGGTACTCTCTAGCATTTGTGATCCCAGTAGAAGTCTTCTTCACCAATGCGTTCCAATCTATCTTCGGTCCTGCGAAATATGCCACTTCCTGAAGCAGCTTCAGCGCCGTCGTCGCGTCATATCTGAATCAAACCAAAATCCCCAATCCATTCAGAAGGAAGAATCAACCAAACAAATCAAACCCATCGCGTTTCAGAATTCCCAAACCCCATCGATGGAGGAGAAAAAAAAACGGAAAGGAAAGCGAAACGTCAGAAAGAGACCTCTGCAAGAGTGAAGCGATATCTCCCTCAGTGATGAATCGCTTCTTGCCTTGATCACTTTGGTCAGCCATTGCCGTCTTTTCACTATAATCACATGTTACGACGAGCGAATCTGCGGTGAAATATCCAGTGGAAAGGAACAAAGGTATCGAATTTCACCGAAAACCCTAACTAGGGTTTTGGATGGAGAGAGTGAGAACTGAGAAGTCCTGAGAATGATACGAACCGAGACAAAGAACAGGGAATATCGCCGCAGAAGAAGAAGTGACCGGATAAAGGATGGAAGACGGTTGGAAGCGCACGCGTGTGGCCAGGATTTGGGGTGAAGAGGAGTGAGAGAGGAGAGGAGAGGGGCCAGACCCCAGACTTAGAGAGTGAATCGACGACCGAACAAAGATCGGCGCTGCTGCAATGACCGATTTAACCCCACGCCAATCTCACTCGTACAAGTACAATTTTATTTATTATTCATCTAAACAATTAAAATCTCCTAACATCTTTACGTATTTTCTCATTAAAAATATTCATTTATTTTTTCTGCGACATTAAAAACCCATCTTTATTTGGTTTCGAAGAAAAAAAAATTAAAAATTAATATGATCATTGGGTGACGAATGAAATGGGGAAAAAAGAGCATGATATGCATTTTACTAAATATTTTTCCACATTGTTAAACATTGAGTTTAAATGTATAAAATTATTGAAATATAATTAGGATTTGTTACATGTTTATTGTTTAAGATTCGATTCCTATTTACCATATTTTAATATACACTCTCTCATAAAAAAAATATATATGTATTTAGTTCTTTGGTGTAACTCAAATAAATCATTTGAAAGAAAAACAGCACTAATAAGAAGATCATTGGATGTCGAGGAGAAATGGGGAAAAAACATGATATGTTTGAAATTTGTTCCTGTTTACAATAATTTATGTATTTCCGCATAACAGCTATTTATTTGGTTTATTTGATTTCTAATAAGAAAAAAAAACAATAATAAGATCATGGGAGGAGACTGGGAAAGAAAAAAAAAAGAAGAAGAAATGAAAGCATGATAGGCATTTTACTATGTATCTGTTTCCACGTTATTAGACATTGATTTTAAAAGTACAAATTGTTAGTATTTTTACATAAATACTATATTATATATATTGCGGAATATTTTATTATGCACCAATCATCATGCATACCACACAAACAATTAATCTGGGATTTAGAACATACTTAAATCCATAATAGCTTGACAAATGGTAGAGTAGGTAGAAAGCCTTCTAGTCGAAAACGTAAGAAATATTATTCTGACAACAAATGGGTGCTATCAGATTTCAATATGTTTAGCCTATGGACCACTACCATTATTTATAATGATAGGTTTGTGTAATTTCCAAATCGTCCATAAAGAATTAGGAAATTACACTTCATGGTATACTTTTATGTATTTGTATATTCGACCATCCGTAATTAGTGGCAATAATCTTCAACAATTATTCACATTTTTTTTTTTGGTTAAATGTGAAATATATTAGTAAGAAGTATAATTACATGTCGGTGTTAACCGAATACAAAAGATAGGGTACTCATGATAAGTGAAAAAGAAACACAAAAACCCCATGTTGGGAAGATGATAAAAGACATCTAAACTAGGACTTCATTACGAGAGTATGCCTCAAGAAAATACCAATCTTCAAGGAGGGAGGAGGATTGCAATTGACGGACCCTTGGTGTAGCCAGGAGAGTGTTACGAACAGACCTTTCGATTTTTCGTCGGAGTAATGCGACGGGTTTCTCTTTGTGTCGGAATCGGCGGTGGTTACGCTCCCTCCAAATGCCTTCAATTGTCGTTTGGAGCAGAGTTTTTGCAAGCATGTTCCTACTTCGTGCGGTGTCATTGGCTGCATTATTGATCCAGTCAACGCATGCTTGAATATCTAATGGCGGATGATTCCAGATTCTAGCAGCTAGGGAACACCAAACGGAGGAGCTGTACTGGTAGGCGAAGAACAAGTGTTGATGGCTTTCGTCAGCATTTCGGCATAGGATGCAAGAAGCCTCTGTTACTAGTCCCCATCTTAACAATCTGTCCATGGTTGGAAGTCGTTGTAAGAAGACTTCCCACTGGATGAAAGCTAGTCTCGGGACAGCAAGACGAAACCAAATGATCGAGTGCCATGCTTTGACTTCACTCCTCTGCCGAATTTGGTTCCAAGTGTTGGCCGAGGAGAAAGTTTGGCGGAATGAATTGTCATTGTGTCTCCATAGCGGTTTGTCCTCCCCCATTTCTTCATCAGGTGGTTCAATCCTGCAGAGCTCACTTTGGAGTTGCTGAATTCTGTCATTCCTTGCTCCTGGCATATTCTAGTGTCCTTCCCTGCAAGCTGTAGCAACTTTTGCATTTCGACCAATACGCAAAAGTGATGGTCCGTTTTCTCCAACAAACTGAATCAAGGGGCCCAAATCAGTCCATGAATCGTGCCAAAAAGAGGTTGTGCGTCCATTTCCCAACTGTATTTTAAGGAATGGACGAGGAACCTCTTTCATTCCAAGCAATTTCCGTAAATTCCATGAGTGTCTCGGGTTTGGTTGGGTATCCCATAGCCCTCTTCTCTTTAATGGGTTTCGGTGGAGCCAAGCCACCCATAAAGATCGTTTCTTGGCAAATATATCCCAAAATTGCTTGACCCGAAACACCACGTTAACATCAATGAGCTTTCTCGGTCCAAGGCCTCCTTCTTTCTTCGGCGTACAAATGGTATCCCATGCGACTCGAGCATTGGTCGAGTCTGATTGCACATTCCTCCATAGAAACTTTGAGCACATGCTGTTTATTTTCCTTAGGAGGCATTTAGGGAGGAGGAAGATGCTGCTCCAAGAATTTACCAATCTATAGATCACCGAGACTATCAATTGGATCTTGCCGGCTGATGAAAGAAACTTTGTTGTCCAGCTCATGATCTTGCTTCGGATTCTATCTAAAAGAGGCTGAAAATCTCCACTTGTTAGTCGCCATAGACTTAGGGGGACTCCTAGGTAACGAACCGGGAGGGTTCCTTCATTCATTCCTGTGATGTCAAGAAGGCTTTGCGAGATGCTGCGACAGTTAGAGCTGAAGAAAATCTCAGATTTGTCTCGATTGACTTGTAATCCTGACATTCTCCCAAACTCATCAATAACACGCATGACCTCCCCAATGGATGCAGAATCAGCTCCCGTGAAGACCATAACATCGTCTGCGAATGACAAATGTGTAATCATCGGGTCATAACATCTAGGATGCAGCTTGATTTTGTTTTCTTTCACCGATGCATCCAACATGCGAGAAAAGATGTCCATGGCGAGGATAAAGAGGTAGGGAGATAGTGGATCACCTTGCCTCAACCCTCTCTGACCATGGAAAAACCCTGTTAGCTCGCCATTGATAACCACCGAAAATTTAGTGGTAGTTATACAAGCTGCAACCCAATGGATGAATCTCGGAGGGAGCTTAACCACTCGTAAAATCTGGATAATAAAGTCCCAATTCAATGTATCAAATGCCTTCTTGATATCTATCTTAAGCATAGCACAACCCGGTTCAATGCTTCTATTATAGTCTCTCACAAGCTCTGTTGCAAGCAGAACATTGTCCATCATCAATCTACCCTCAAGGAATGCAGCTTGATTCGGAGCAATGATCTGCTTTAGAACCGGCTTTAAACGCTTTGCCAGGATTGATGAAATAATCTTGTATGACAGATTACACAAGCTGATAGGGCGGAAGTTCTTTAGTGCATCGGCTGTTGAGGTCTTTGGAATTAACACAATTGCTGTTGAATTCATTTGTCCAAGCAGCTTTCCAGAACTGAAGAATTCCTGGATGGCTGAGATTAAGTGTGTCCCCACTGTGTCCCATGCATCGACGTAGAATTCCTTGCCGAATCCGTCTGGCCCTGGTGCTTTTCGGGTTGGCATACCCAATAGTGTTGACCTTATTTCCTCCGAGCTCGGAATGACTGCAAGTGAATCCATATCCGATAAGGGGCCTTGGAGGTTAAATAACTCAGCAAGCCAGGATGAAGATGGGGCTTGAACTGAGGCATCTTGGGTGCCAATCAATCCTTGGAAAAACTCCACTGCATGTGATTTAATAGCCTCAGAATCATCGAGCCTATTCCCTTGGTTGTCCATCAGGTAATGGATGTGGTTCCTTGATGTTCGAGATTTCGTTACCTTGTAGAAATAACTGGTATTTCTATCCCCATGTTGTAGCCAACGGATCCGAGATTTCTGCATGAAGAACAACTCCTCCGCTGATACCAACTCCAACCAAACTTTCCTCTGCTTTTTCTCTGCCTCTATGGCCGATGCTTGGGGGTCAGAGTATAGGGCTCGTTGGAGCTCCTTCAACTTTTGATGTTCAGCCTTTACCCTTTGAGTGATATTGCTGAATCTATTTGCATTTAGCTGACGAAGGGGAGCCTTTATGAGCTTGAGTGCACGACAAAGACGGAACTGGTGTGATCCCATAATTGTCGTAGCCTTCCAACCAGTCTCCATAATCTGTTTAAAAGAGGAGGACAAAGCAAGGTGATGAAAATATTTGAAAGGCCGACGCACCTTAGGCTGGTTGTCGGGGAAAATGACAACACATGCCGCATGATCGGACATTCCAGGTGGTTGAAACTCCGCATATGCCTCCGAGAAAATATCATGCCAGAGAGAGTTTCCCAAAGCTCGATCCAACTTCACAGCGAGAGGGTTGAGAGCTTGGTTATTAAACCAAGTGTAAAAAAGCCCTTTCCTTGCAATGTCAGATAGCCCCGTTGCTGTCAGGCATTCCTCCATAGCTTCCATTCCATGAGTTGAGACTGATGATTCCGGAAAGTCTGACCTTTCCGACGGCATGAGTGGCTGGTTGAACCCCCCTGCCACTAACCAAGGCGAGAGTTGTAGAGGCTGATATCCAGCTAGTTGTAGAGGCGAGAGTTGTAGAGGCTGATATTCACATTAAACAACAATTATACCATATATTGATTATAACATTAAAACCAAAATATAGTTGTTAGAGAATTTCTAACAATCTCTCACTTGGTTAAATGTCTATAATCCCGTAAATATGGATTTTCTTTAGTGAGCTCAGAAAATTGTCTGTTCTTTGTGAACACTTTAACAATCTCGTTCATTGAATATGTAACGTAAGGACCAAGGCGGCTTTCGTTCCATTAGTGCGCGACTAAACCTTCCAAGATCACGTTACGCCTCTTTATCCAACGACATAGATCATGTATAGGTATGCAGTATGAAAATCTTGTCTTATTTGGACATATCCTGATTTTCAACTGGTCCATTTCTTTATGGAGATCTTTAACTTCGAGAGTCTCATAACCAATAAACCTTATTTTCTGCAGAA